TAATCTTCTCAATGGCACCGAGGTCGAGGCCCTGGGAGTAGGAAGAGGAGATGGTCACATCACCCTTGACGGTCGTGCAGTCGGCGGCGAGAGTGTCGGCATCAGACTGGCTGGAGATGGTGGTGTCACCGCAGGCTATCATAACTCATCAGTATTAATGTCGCAGGGCCATTGTTCATAGAATTCCACTCACAGGAGGAAGCGATGGCACCCTGGGCGACAGCGAGCGCAGGGACGATGTACTTGATGAAAGACATGGCGATGTACTCTGCAAATGCGACCGTGTTAGTGATGAGGTTTTTGACTCGCGGGCATCAGTGAAATGTAAACATACCAGTGAAGATGCAAAATTAATAAAACAGGAGAACGAGTGGAAAGAAAAGGCCTCGGAACGAAAGAGAGGCGATTGGGGAGTACTGAACAAGGAAAGAACGAGTGGACGGGTTGGGGGGGAGAGAAGAATTAAGAAGTTTGGGGGAAGAGAAAGGAGGCGTACGTTGGAAGTGGAGATTTGTTATGTACAGATACAGAGTATAAATACAATACCCCCTACATGTACAACACAATACCGCATCCGGCGCACAATCCTGCTTTTTTGATGACCCGTCGTTTTAGTGCTGTTTCCGTACCACATCATCAATCGCCGATTCGCCCATGCAGCCCCCCTTTCTCCGTCCAGTGGATCCCATGAGACTCATTATTTTCCCACACGTGTATTTGAGTTATCCATGGCTCTGCGAACAATGAGGAATTTGGGACTGGAAACAGAGAGGAATTGATCAAGATATTCCTTGGTTCGAAGGTGATCGGTGGGTAAATTAGGCATGTTGATACTACTACTGAGGGTGCTATGTTGGTGCCTTGGGAGCTATTGACATTGGTACAGTAGGACGTGCTTTAGTGCAGGAGCTTGCCACTTCTGCATACAGTAAACATTAAAAGTTGTACAACCAATATTACCACCTATCATGTACAAAAGCAAGTAGCCAGAGATATCAAAAAGCACCTAGTGCATACACGCATGGATATGAGAACCATCGACTGGTGATAGGCTGATGCCATGAGCAAGTTGTATTTCTCGTCGTCTCTGGCTATTTGCTCAGGAACGTGCTGTTCAGAAGTCCCAAGTACCTATTACCATAAAATACCGTCCAATTTACTATAATTTCACCAGGATGCCCTAAAAAAGTCTAGTGAAATGGCCCCATCCATATCTATCATAAAGCTGTCGTCATCTATGTACCCTTTAGCTTGCAGGCCCCCTGATCTACATAAGAAGATTTGAATCCAATTTGATTCAAGCCTTTTGAGGCCAAAGTGATTCGTTGTCAAGTCCACGCCGATGTATGGTATTTTTTATTCGGTCGCTTTTTCTCGCCCCATCCGGACCTGTCGCTCAATTATAGGAGATGAATCTTGCGCGTGGTCGATCTAAATTTACAGGAATTCAAGCCTTGACAGACCCGCCACGCCCCCCGTTATCGTCGACGGGCCCCGGTATGTACGGCCTCTGATTGGCACGCTGGAATGATTCACCCTGGATTTACACCAATATTGGCTGCTTTCCGTAATATCATGTTCTATCTGAGGCATATCCGTTCAGGCAAAGTGATAGGCCGCGATCGAGTCTTGATGGTCGCGGAGAAAGCAACCAGCCGATATTAATCCCCTGAGTAACGAAACATCCCCTGCCTGCGCTGAAGCTTTTTTTATGGATAGTATATTAGGATCGCCGACACACCTAACAGGAAGCTGATTTTTTTCCTTCTTCATAGAGGATCTTCAGAAAGGGCCTTGATCAACTTGCCACTGTCCCTGGTATCTAGGCTGTGTATGTACAGAGTTTAGAGCTAGTTACGTATTCTACGACGCTGCCTTCCGAACTGAAGCATTGATTTTGGCCACTGACTGAACCCAGATCCGCATGGAGCTTCTGTCGCTGGATGGAGCGACGATCGCCGTCTAGAGCTTCATGGACTCGGGATCCGCCTTTCTGCGGCTGTTGCCGATTGAAGAATTCTTCAACCCATCTGATACAAACAGATGATATAGAAGCCTCTTTAAAAGACCTCGCCAAGTAAATTAAAAATAAACACCTGTCATGATCCAAAGAGATTAAAACCCATTCGAATGGTAACATCGGGCCTTTCAATGATACGGTCACGCAGCGGTAATGACGGCCGGTAAGTACATGTAACATTTGTTTCAGATCGCTGAACGGACCCAATTTCCTGCTGGAAGAGTCAATCGCTCCACCTTGACAACCATTTAACTCCACTTTGCAGCGTCGCTTGTCCAAACTTGGTCTGATATCGAAGAATTTTCACTTATAATTAACCTTGGCCGCGTTGTCCTGCAGAGCTAGCGGGTTAACTCACTTCCCTGTTTACTTGTTTACTCCCCGACCTCCAAGCTTACCCGTCCTAATTAGTCCGGGGGGCAAAAGTTCTTTAAAAACCCGCGAACGCCACGAATTATGGATACCGCGCGGCCCTATCGACTAAACTACTCGCAATTCACCTTGTCAAAGCTATCGGCTATCGTGGCGATTGGAGTCTGATTCACATTCCACTTCCAAGATTTTCTCTGCCTGATTTCGTTTTCTTTTTTTGTTCTGTGGAATGCGTGGCACGGCTAGCACGGCCAAGCCCCAGCGAACAATGCCAGAGGCTGGGGCTAGCATTCTTCGGCCCATGAGTCTTCAAGAATTGAGCATGTTCTTCTGGGGTTGGGCAAATTAAGAATGGAGACCTCTTTAACCCGGTTTTGGCTTAGAGCGACTCCGTAATGGGGCAGGTGGTCCGATTTTCTTTTTTTTCTTAAGAACCACACCTTTATACTGTTCCTATTTCCAGTCGGCCTCGGTCGCACCGAACAGGGATTGGCATCTTGTTTCGAACTCTGGTACACAACGTCCAACTGCCCAGCCAGATTCCCAATTGCTAGTTCTGGTTGGCGGATCAGATCTTTTAACGACGTAAATATTATTATTGACTTTTTACCCCACTTCCAGCTTGGATTGGTAGATTTTTTCTTTCTCGGGAGTTCCGTTGAGATGCGCAAACTACCAGTGATTTCCAAGTTCCAGATTGATTCGGCATTCGGACGGTGACGCAAGCCCGCTTACACGTGACTCGGCATTTACACCTACAGGCCATAGGCTAAAGCCACCCGGACAGTCTAAACACCGGCCTCTTTGTAGCTTACTGTAGTTCTACTCGAGAATATTCCAGCTAATCGCTCTCAGTAGGGCTTTCTATGTATGAGACCGTGGATCTGAATGAATCTCGTGCGTTCCTCGAAATGGTTCCTTGGAACAAGTGCGGAGCGGAGTAGATTCGGCCCAATTGCATGACTTACCTGCATACATTTTTTGTACTGCTTACCATGGATTCAAAATTACCTGTCCTCGCCAATCATGGCCCGGGCTCTATTCGTTTAGGAGGTGGGATTTGGATTCTTTATACTTGGTTCGGGTGATAACGGTCGCTTGAATTCGGTGGTTTGATTGGTGTGCGGACTACCATCATGTTCCACTTTGACGGTCGAATTTGAAAATGGATATAGAAGTTGTCTGAGGATCAATATTTATTCAAGCAAAGAAGGCATTGATATAGAGCTGATTAAAATGCCTCATGGTTGAAAAGGGGCTAGCTTTCTGATATGATTGAGTTTTTGAGCTTTTTGATGGCCAAAGAACTTGATGATCTGGTTATTCATATAAAAGGCGGTTTTCCCAGTTGTAAAAGAGTAGCCAAGCTCGAGGCAGAGATGAGAATTTTGAAATGACAGACTGTGTTTCGCTGGTGTGAGCGTTCCTGGCACTTGTGTCGATGTGATATTGGCAAGAATCCTTTCGTCTAAAAATTGTATAGCGTCTTTAGGCCACCGATCTGATATCCGGTAGAACATTCCAGTTGACTTCGAGAGCCCAAGGTAGAGTGACAAAGCAATTTGCAAGTAACTACCTTGCATGTGGTTGTGTAATGTAGGGACAGACTGGAGTGATCAGGAATGCGAGAGCGGTGCCCAGGTGGTCAAATTGGGGACTGTAGACTATAGGAGAGCCTTCGCCCCTTTATATCCTTGTTTCACCAGCTTTCAAGGTTTGTCGTTCTAGTTCAAGAAAATGTTTTATCGCAAGCTTTTCGACGGCTGGATGAATCCACTTCAGCACCCTTTACCCCTTTTCAAGTGACGAACCCCATAAAAAGCAACAATCAATATTCATGCCGCAGAATCTCCTTTTCTTTCGCCTACTATGGGATATAAAGTCGAGCTATTAAAAATAGGCTTTTCCCAATTTGTTAAGGCGCAACTAGCGAGAACTTCGTGTAATCATATGATCGGTTCCTTCGTACATATGATTTGTTTACCGATATTCACTATGCAGCCTGCGCCTTGTTACCTTCAATATAATATTGAATTTATTTTTTCGTGGCACCCAATATAGTATGGTTTTTATCACTGTGAAACATTATACCAGAAAAAGGTTTTCAGTCGAGGCTATCAGCTTGAAGGCGAGTGACGAGCCTGCAGCCGAATACGGACGAACAGTGAATAGAGAAACGACAGAAAAGCAAATAAAGTGAACTTATAAAATGCCCCAGTCAGCATGGCAAACTTCCACCATCATATATCCTTTCGAAGAGAGGAATCATTGAGTCGCCATGCAAATGACAATTAAACTCCCGAAAGCCTTGAGTGCCAAATCGCGCTCTTCAGATCAATCCACCAAACCTGACACAACCGCTTTCATTCACTCTGAGCCCCTAGATGAAGATCAGCTCCAAAAATGCGGTATTTTTACGACGTTACCTAGTCGCATCCACAAGTTGAATGCGCAGACAGTCGAATCAGCAAGGCTTTCTCATTTCGAAATCACGTCAGCAGTGGGTCATTGGCAGCCAGGCCTGCCCTGCAAGTTGAACTCTTGTATCGGGTACGCAACTAGTCTTTTGTTCCCCGAATGTGTACCCAAGAGGTTAGATACAGTCACTATGGTACTGGAACTAGGTTCGATCTATGATGGTATGTATTTCGCCCAATTGTATTACTGTAAATCAAAGAACAAAGCTAATTCAAGAGAAAGACATGATTGAAAAAGGTGAAATGCAAAAAGCAGAGGAATTCCAGCGCATACTGGTTTTGATTCTGCGTACCGCCCAAGGACACCATACTCACAAGTTAAAACGCAGCTCAAAGGAGCAGCGGTCGGCATTGAAGCTGGCCGCTGGATTTAATGCCAAATATGGAGATGGGTGGAAGGCCTTGGTCAAGCGGATTTTAGACAACTGGACTCACCCGATCAAATCCGAGGAAAAGAAGGATCTGCCACTTGGCTTGGAAGAGCAGCTTTCTCGACAACTTGTTAACAAGGGGACAAGGTATGTCTGGTGCGCCATGCTGTAAAAGAACCATCCGTTCTAATTCGAATAAAGAGCCACTCTCGGTGTCCTCGAATTTTCTCTTGGATTTAGGTTATCAGACGCCGAGAAGAAAGGAATAAATCACATTCTGGAGGTTGCCGAAAGAATCATCGCCAACACAAACGATTACTTTAGCTGGGAGTTTAAAAGAAATGGAGATAAAAGAGTGGCAAACTTGATCCAAGTCATAATGGAAAAAGAGGGCAGTTCCGAGGAAGAAGCCAGAGAAAAGTTGAAGATCGCAATTCTGGACGATGAGACAAAATATCAACTCCTATCGAACCAAGTTTTACGGCCACTCCAAAATGCCCCAGCGAACGTGCGCATATTTCTTGCCATGCTTGATCTTCTTATTGGGGGTCATCATGTTTGGAGCGCTACTTGCGAAAGATACAAGGTTCACTCCCAACTGGATGTGAAAGAAATCACGATAGCTACTACTCAGGACGAAAGTGGAGATATGAGCCCCTAAGATCTCAGCAGTATAACTCCCACAAACGATACAAGCGGTGACATTTCTGCTTTAGTGGATCCAGTGCACTACATGGAGTCCCTCCCGTCAAATAATATGCGCGCAAGGTTCATCGACGCTTTGAACATATGGTTTGAGCTCCCGAACGACCAGTTAGACACCATCAAAGGCGTTGTAGACGACCTCCACAACTCATCCCTGATACTCGATGACATCCAGGATGCATCCAACCTGCGACGAGGGTTCGCTACAGCTAATCAAGTCTTCGGCTCAGCTCTATGTATCAACAGTGCCACCTACATGGTATCCAGAGCCACCAATCGACTTCTCGTTCATCCGGACCCAAGCCATCAACTAATTAGAATATTTCTAGATGGATCGAGAAAGCTTTCAATAGGCCAAAGCTGGAATATAGACTGGAAGATTAAAGGAAAATGTCCGTCCACAAAAGGATATATGGCAATGGCTGATGGTAAGACCGGAGCCTTGTTCGAAATGATTATTCGGATGATGCAGTTCTTTTCAACTGCAAACTGGCCGATCGAAGAATTATTCCAGCTTAGCACTTCTCTCGGTCGATGGTATCAAGTACGAGATGATTATCAGAGCCTGCAGGATGAACATTATATATCACAAAAGGGATTCTGTGAAGATCTGGATGAGGGGAAGCTATCATATCCACTCATCGTTTGCTGTCATCGTGATTCAACGGCCGAGAAGATTATCATGGGGATTTTCCGACAAGCTGGTGGAAGACCGCTGGCTGTCAACGTCAAAGAACAGATTCTTGATTTGTATCGACGTACTGGTGCGCTTGAAGAGACATGGGAGACCATTGAAACCCTGAAGAGAAGTACCGAGACAGCTCTTTCAAGATTTGAAAGCATCACCGGGGAGAAAAATGTAGATTTACGTGCATTTGTCAACGCTTTTGGCCCATGCATCACGACCCCAGGAGTTAAAGCAAATGGACCTCAACTGATGTCAATGAGATCGTGATTGCAACGTTATATACATCCGTTCATGGATGGACACCGGCTTGGAAGTATATTGGCAGCAAGAACACAGAACCCTTGGAATGAGTTTACAAGATACTCTTGAGGACACCGAAAGTTAATTGAAAAATTAAAACCTCACGAGAAAAGTTCTATAATCATATACCATTTAAGCTGATTTTGTACTTGTATCTTCCAAATATGCGCGGAGGGGCTGATTGTAGGCTGCAATGGGGCTCTTGCTTGGCATGCGTCAGCCGGGAGCCTAGAATCCGGGGACGGTCCTCGATGAACTTCCTCCTCACCCCTTTCTCTACAGATTTTACAGAGTCATACAACCCCAACTCTTAAACATGGCGCTGAGGCGATCTGCCCGATTGGGTTCCACCCCAACGATCATGGCACCAGTGCAAAGCTCCGCACCCAAAATGACCAGGGTGAAGAATAACGCAGTCACAAAGCCCCGCAAGGTCTCACCAACCAAGAAAGCAGCTCCAAAAGCCACCGTCAAGGCCTCCAAAACCTCAGGGAGCTCATACTGGTCTCCTGAACCACCAGCACTCGACAATTCGACACAGGACCCAGCTACTAACCGCCCTGCAAACAACAGACTTCACACACCACCCCCCTCGACCGTCCAGTCGACCCCCACCGAACAAACGCAACCCTCCTCACACCCCACGGCTCCTCAGTAGCCGCCTACCCAGCCCGCCCAGAAGATGCCTCCCCCTCAAAGACAGGGCTCCCCCGCCCAGCAGCTACAACAGGCACACTGCTTGAGCAAGCAGTAGCGCATCTAATAGCGACAGACCCACGTCTCAAGCCCGTGATAGAGCAGCATCCATGCCCGCTCTTCTCGCCAGAAGGCCTTGCCGAGAAAATTGATCCCTTCAATAGCCTGACGAGCAGTATAATCGGACAACAAGTCTCCGGCGCCGCAGCAAAGTCCATCCGCAATAAATTCCTGGCGCTGTTCCAGATTGAGCCTAATGAAGCTGGCTCGCGCTCGCGATTCCCTTTACCGGAGGAGGTTGCAAAATGCGATATCCCCACTCTGCGGACGGCGGGATTATCCCAACGCAAAGCGGAGTATATACAGGGACTGGCGGAGAAGTTCGCGAGTGGGGAGCTAAGTGCACAGAAATTGGCCAAGGCTAGTGACGAGGAACTTGTTGAGATGTTGATTGCTGTTCGTGGGTTGGGGAAATGGTCAGTGGAGATGTTTGCGATGTTTGCGCTGAAGCGAACTGATGTTTTCTCCATTGGGGATTTGGGAGTGCAGTAAGTTCTCTTACCCTGTGGATCAAGTATTTTGAGTTATGAACTGACATCCTGAAGACGGGGCTGTGCGTCGTTTGTGGGTCGAGATGTAAGTAAGTTGAAAGGCAAGGGTGGTGGTAAGTTTAAGTATATGGCGGAAAAGGATATGCTAGAGTTGGCAGCAAAGTTTGCACCGTATAGAAGTCTTTTTATGTGGTATATGTGGCGGATCGAGGATGTTGATGTCGCTGTTCTGACTGGGTGATGAGGTCGTCGACTACGAAGTATAAACTGGGTTGCTTTACAATGTCTCAACATACAAACACTTGTTTACTGGATATAAAGGGTGAAGCAAAGAATTAAGACAGAAAGAAATATCTCGGATTTCAATTTATGCCCGCACAAATATTAGATCCTTTCTTCGGCGTCCTTAGTAGTTGGGGATGCAGACACCAGCGTTCCACTCAGTGGCACCAACGCACTGCCAGCCATCGCAGCAGGGGTTGCCGCCAGAGGTACAAGCAACTTCGTAGTCTAGAGTGCATTGTTAGCGAATGGATCACAGTCTTGAAGTGTGTGACGTACTGGCGACGCAGGAGCGCTTCTCAGCCCGTTCGGAGGGAGAGGCAGAGGCAACAGCGGCCAGGGTAGCAATGAAGACAGTGATGAACTGCATTTTGATATTGGAGTTGAATGATCGGTAGATCGGTTGATTGATTGGTTGATGGATTGGTAGTAGATTGAATTGACTGAGTTGCTTGTGTTGATGATATTCGAACTATTGGGAAATTTTCTCGCTATTTAACCCTATAGAATCACATAGGTAGACTGAAGCCTCACATCAATCGGGATGTCAGATTCAAGATCTTCAGGTTTCCATCCATAAACGTATAGATTGTACAATTGGATGCGTAGATCGTCAATACATTTGCCCCAGTGTATATCTTTAGCATGAAACAGATACCTCTTTAGGTCAATATCCCAGGTTGATATACTTCGTTCGTCAGTAAACAGCTAACGTTGCCACCTAATCTTAGTCAATAAAACAGTCAGCATTGCCATTAATGGATTAAAGCCATACAGTTTAGTGGATTTTCAATACTTTCCGTATGAGGCACATGCATGGATGATCCAGTAAGCATTGGGGGATGGGGGCTATAATACACTAGGCTACTACCATACTTGGCTATGCTAAGTTATAACAAGGTCCTAATCCATGCATGGGGTACCCTAGACCCAGTATGACTTCAAGTTTCATGAATGTTGGAAGAAACGGACCGCAATACGAGCCAGCTAAGTGACGTATATCCTTGAGTCATTGAGCTGACCCGAATGCTTTTTGGCGACGAAACTTCGAGTTGTGGCATTTTCAGCTCAACCGAAGAACAGAATCGGGAATTGACATGTCTTTCTTTATCTTCTCTCCGGATCAAGGACTCTGAGTTGAATGACATGCTCGAGCCCAGGTCTAAGGTTGGCACCCCAGGTGCGCGACCTGTGGACAGATGCAAGAGCGCAAGCACTGACTGGCTCTTGAGCCATTCAGGGCTACTGGATAAGCAAATTGAGCGCATGACAAAGATTGCAGATTCTGAGTATTAAGGCAGAACAAAGAAGATCGATTTGTACAGTATCAGTACACACATAGGATTATCCAGGAACCACCATCTACGGCTGGTCCGTATCCATCGCAAAAATTGAAGGTCTATCAAACGAAAACAACCCCATAGCACTTATAATTTCACCGGTTTTTCGTCATAGAATCGCAGGGCAGGCAAGTGATGGCCGGGTGCGTTTACTTGCGGACGACGAGGTTGTCGAGGTCATCACGCTCCTTGTTCTCCTTCTCGATCTCGCGGATGATGGGGCTGAGGTACTCAACGTCCTAAATAGTCCAGGTGATTAGTATTTACTTGGCCGAGGGGACTCGATGGGTGTTCAGGGTCTTCGATCATATGTGACAAATCCTTGCAACGGGATTGGCCAATACGGAGTCGGATTGCGGGGATGGTGAAATTCGGACAGGGAGAACCTACCTCGTGGGGCTTGATCTGCTCGTTGGGGGGAAGAAGAGTGTGGGAAATGGAGCACTGCGATTGCGATATCCATTAGCGGTTTGATGTCGAAAGCTGGGGAAGGGGGTTGGACGAACCTGGAATGCGCGGCGAATGCGGAAGACACGGTCGTAGGCCTCCTTGGAAGGCAAACGCTTGATGGCCTTCTGGACAACCTCGCTCTCCTCGGGGATGAGGTCGTCGAACCTGGGGGTGGGTTAGCAACCATGGTGAACGAAAAGTCTCCGGGAGCGATCTCCGGATGACCGGGATGTAGCAATTGCGATGGAGCGCCATTGACAATGCCAGCGGCAGGCTGCAGCCGTCCTGATACTGTGTATGATGCGGATATCCCGGTCGTCCTAAATCGCTCGAAGGAAAAGGTATTGGCGAGGAGGGGGCGATAATTACTTCAGTCCAAGCTTCCTGTAGCCGGCGGCATCAGTGTACCAATTGGCCAGAGGGGTCATCCAGCGCTTGAGCCATGGGCGCTTGACGATGTAGTTGGTGATCGAAGGGGCAGACATCTTGAATACCGGGTATCCAAAGGCTCTGGGGAATGAGGGAAGATTGGAAAGGGCGGTCCGGTTGAACACGAGATGACCCGATGGAGGTTGTGCAAAACGGAAGCTGGAGGCGCTAGTCTGTAAATGGCAATACTAAGACCTGAGGCATTCATATAAATCATGTGACAAATAGTCAGGTGACTTGAATGCACGTGTGCCTGAGGCCACCGCGGAGACGAATGCCAATCAGTGACTCCACCTCGCACCACTCAATTCCCCATGTCATTATCTCGAACTCTACCTCTCTCTAACCCTCACTCTCTTACCCTTCTCGTTTATCGGAACGCGGTGCTAGCGATTTCCAACCGTTCGCTCACTGGCCACTTGCTTGCCAAGTAGAAATTATAATCCCCGCCCCGGCCGAGTCCGTGCTTCGACATCATAGGGTATCGCATTCAGAACCGTTCGGTAACCATCGGCTCCAGAAAACTTTCCTCGGTTGAACCCCAATTCTTACTCATTCCATCCTTCAACACTTTGATACATTCTCTCACCCCCCTTTCACAACGAGTTTAAACCGGCTTTAGGGTTCCGGATCGAGCACCGATATGCTCGAGTCCGGGATCCCTCGGTGATCAAGACGGATAGACAAGTTTGAGCGCCTGTCAACCTTATACGATGCGCCCCGATGACAGAAGCAGCTCTGGAGCTGCCAGCAATCCCTCCGAGCAGTCGCAGAGCTCCCAGATAGATAATGCTGCCACCCCCGCTCCCCACGTGCCTGTCGCCGGTACATCGTCGAACTCCGAGCTCATCAAGCGGTTGGAAATTTTGTCCACCCGTATTCCAAATTTCTGGGTCGCCCCATTTTGTGGTGGTGCTGCAGGTGTGGCTTCAGGAATTGTGACATGCCCTCTCGATGTTATCAAGACCAAGCTGCAGGCCCAGGGAGGCTTTGCCCGACGGAGCGGGCCAGCCATGCAAACAAAAACACTGTACAGAGGCATGTTTGGCACCGGAAAGGTGATCATACGAGAAGATGGTATCCGTGGTCTTTATCAAGGACTTGGTCCGATGCTCATGGGATATCTTCCGACATGGGCGGTCTACCTGGCTGTTTATGACCGATCTCGCGAATACTTTTATGAACAAACAGGTTGGTTCGGTTCTTTGGTCTACATCGGATAACAATTCTCTAACGCCCGTCTTAGACAGTTGGTGGTTATCTCGCGGTTATGCCTCGATTACCGCTGGTGCCTGTTCGACGATTGTGACAAATCCCATCTGGGTTATCAAGACAAGGCTCATGTCGCAGAGCCTCAAGCAGAACCACGAAGGGGCACGAGCCCCATGGCAGTATTCAGGTACATGGGATGCTGCTCGCAAGATGTATCAAGTCGAGGGCATTCGCTCGTTCTACTCTGGCCTGACACCCGCTCTTCTTGGCCTCACCCACGTGGCCATCCAGTTTCCACTTTACGAGTATCTGAAAATGGCCTTCACCGGATACGGCATCGGAGAGCACCCAGATACAGGAAGCTCACACTGGGTGGGTATCTCACTCGCTACCTTCCTCAGCAAGGTCTGTGCAAGCACCATCACCTATCCCCACGAGGTTCTACGAACTCGACTGCAAACACAGCAGCGCACAATTCCAGCCCCATCACACGAAGAAATCGCTTTCCGTGGTGGCTTGAAACACCCCCATGATCGTGGCCGACCCTTAGCATCTTCCTCTGATGGAATGCCTCTCAGTCCCCGCTACTCCGGAATGATCCGCACCTGCCAGACTATCTTGAAGGAAGAAGGATGGCGTGCATTCTATTCTGGAATTGGCGTCAACCTTTTCCGGGCTGTTCCGGCTGCCATGACGACAATGCTCACCTATGAGTACCTTCGGATGGTCATCCATAACTTTCAACACGAGGGTGAAATAGCGAAACAGACTGATGCGTCTAGCATGATCTAATGACAAAGACCTGTCAAAGATATAGAAAGGCATTTCAACTCACGTTCATCCTCAAAATCACGTGCACATAAACAGTGTGCCTTTCTTACCGCTACTCAACACTCCCTTTCACCTTGCGATTTGTATAGAAATGGAAGCCGTCTATTGCTTCCAGTTGGTGAATTCTTCAGCGAGTAGGCTTTAGGCCTTGCATTACAAAAATATCTACCAGTCCGAGGACTTGGAACAGATAGCACATACCCAGAGGTCTTGTGCTTTTGCCTGCGATCAAGATGCTCCTGATTTTGAAGCGTTTCTCTCAAAGTCCTTTCCACCTATTTCGCATGGCTTTTACATATCCTATTGTACATACTACCCAGATTTCGTTTCCATGCAAGTACTCTTTATTCCCACTTGGCATTAGTCATGCAACCTGTCATGCCCTCTGTAGCTTTTATTATCATCAGCCTTACGGTCGATTGACTGCGTACAAGTACAAAAAATTGTACTGTTCTAGAAAGCAAATATAGCAAAAGCAGTGGACTAGCAAGCCGAGTGAGGACATCCCCGACCTGCAAGACGGTCCTCCAACAATTCCCGAGCAGAGACTCGCTCCTTTTCGGAGCACATACAGCGAACTAGGGGGTCCAGTGCTTCTTCATGCGGCAAAAAAGGTCGTGCCCGGGATCGAACCGGGATCGCCAGAATCAGAATCTGGAGTGATAGCCATTACACTACACAACCTGAATTGCTGATCACGTGAAGAAAATCAGAAATATGCGGTATGAATTGAAGAAATCAACTTGATAAAAGATGTACAAGTCCTGGAATCTCACAAACTGCTGAAAAACCCAGTCGAAGTACACCAGTAAAGTCAAGGATTATGTTTACTCTAATCATGCTCTTTCCGAAAATCAATGAGAGGCCTACCGACACATCCAACACACTCGAAAATCAAAGAACATGACTCAAATTTGGCCATTTTGATAAGACGAGCCTGCAATTGAGATCTAGACCACAAGCTGATCACTGGTCAATTGATGTATAACGCGTTTTTTAAATCGTGATCTGGGAAAGTGATTTCAATGTACCAAATTGAGTCGTCAAGGAAAATAACATTTATCCACTATACAAAACCACGGCCCCAAAAGGTTGAAGCACAACTTCTTTATTGCCGCACAAATCTCCCTGGCTTGAAACCAAAAGCGAAGGATGCTCCAATCGCTTTGCAACCAATTTTTGCTCCGCATCAGAGAAGTTGAGGAGCACAACAGCCTTCTGACCCTGACAAGCCCGCTCATACCCAAGCACCATCTCCCCAGTCTCTTTCTCCGAGATGGCAACATAGGACCCATAAACAAACAAATCTGCCATGTTCTTCCTTAAAGCAATCATCTCCTTCCAATACCCCATCACACTCCCGGGATCACCAACTTGACTCTCAACATTCCACTCCGTATAGTCCTTATTAACAACCATCCACGGTTCAGCCCCAGTCGTAAAGCCCGCATTTGCCGAACCATCCCACTGCATAGGCAGTCGTCCATGATCACGCGCCTTGAGCTGCAACTCCCTCAGCACATCCCCCATCCGATTTACATCATCTCCCCTCGCCTTCAAAACCTTGTTATAATAATTCTTCCCTTCAACATCGATATACGCTTCAGCTCCATACTCCTTCCCAAGATTAGCCATTCCGATCTCTTGACCCGCAAGTAGAAACGGCGTTCCGCCCAACGTGGTCAAATAGGTCGCAAGCATCTTAGCCGAAGAAGACCGGTACTCAGGTGAGTCAGATGCGTACCGAGTAATCGAGCGACCGCTATCATGGTTATCGAGATAAATAGTATTCCAGCCCTCGAATATAGGCATAGCAGTCTGCCACAAATTCGTCAGATGCCGAATCTTCCTCGGATGGAAATCGTCTCGGCCATATTTCCCATCAACACCGAAATCCATATCGACTATATCGCCCGTGAACAGCATGTTGAGTTCATGTCGGTCTTTGGCAACGTATTCACGGACTGAGTTTTCATCTTTAGTAAATCCCAGCTCGCCAACTGTCATGATATCGTACTTGTCGAAGACCTCCGTTCTCATCTCACGGATATAATCATGCATCCTTGGGCCTGAAGCGAAATATTCCGCGCCGCTTTGGTATGGCTCGTCATTTATGACTTTCGCATCGGGTAGATCGGGGTGTTTGGACATTAAGTTCATGCTGTCGATGCGGAATCCGTCCACGCCTCGATCGAGCCAGAAATGCATATCGTCGTGTGCTGCTTTGCGCATATCTTCACTTTCCCAGTTCAGATCTGGCTGGCTGGGAAGGAAGAGAGCGAGGTAATATTGGCCTGAATGCTCGTCGAATTGCCAGGCCGATCCACCAAAGATAGAAGCCCAGTTATTAGGTTCTTTTCTTTGGCCCTGTGCGTCATATTTCGGGTCCCGCCAGATATACCAGTCGCGCTTAGCATTTGTCTTTGAGCTGCGGGATTCTTTGAACCAGGCGTGTTCATCGCTGGTGTGGTTCACGACCAGGTCCATTAAAAGCCGCATTTCATTTGCATGGAGTAAGTCTATGAGCTCTTGGACGTCTTCGACTGTACCGTAGGGCGCGTGGATAGAGCGGTAGTCGGAGACATCGTATCCCATGTCTTTTTGAGGCGAGGCATAGATGGGTGAGAGCCAGATTGTATTTATGCCGAGAGACTTGATGTAAGGCACCTTGCTGATGATTCCGCGGACATCGCCGAGGCCATCACCGTTGCTGTCTAAGAAGCTGGCTGGGTAGATTTGGTAGACGATGGCCTCTTTCCACCAAGCCTTTTCCACTTGCTGAGGACCCATTTTGATCAAGCCACAGAAGATTGTATAAATCGATAGAAAAAGAAGTATGCATCGGCTAGTCTCTCCTAAAGGAGACCATTTTATATTCTGCTATGTTTCCCCGACACAATCCCATTAATTGTCCAGTGTTTATTGTAATGAAGGCTCGGAGGAACCTGGGAAGTGCCCGTTCCGCTGCAGGACATGATCTACTCCGCGAATCCGCGATCGCGGGGAATTCACCGAGATCTCTCCGAGCACAGCGGGGATTGAGTGTCAATGCAGCGGCATTGTAGCGACATAGCTTGATAGAACGTAGTTTTTTGGTCGGTGAGAAATCGGAAACGAGAAACCAATCATTCAGTGCTCGAGCGCATGGTCCACCGTTATCTTCGACGTGTGTCTAGTAGATGCCGGATGCATGAGCATGAGTAGCATGACTGTGGTTCTTTTGGGTCAAAATTGAAAAATAATAGGACTCTAAAGCTCAATGTTAAGTGCTATGTTTGTTTATTCCATTTCAACACGCATGTTTCCTTTTCCATGGCTCAGCTTGCAGCACCAGGAACGATATGACGTATAAGTGGTATCATGGTGGACGCCGGCATCCCGACGGCAATTTCTGGGTCCGGTATTTCCAGACGTCTTCTCGGACGAGTATGGGATACTTCCCCATTGAAAATACTACTCGAATCGACCAAAGAGTCAATCTGGTTCTCTCTATTCAGCAGCATATCCCTTCAATCCCAGATAATGCCGCCATCTAAGCCACACACCTACGAAAACGAAGTGTATGCAAACGGGCTCCAGAATATAAAACCGCCAATTAGCTTCAACCCACTCGACTGGGAAACAGCAGCCAAAGAAACCCTACCCGCCGAAAGCTTTGGCTATGTATGGGGCTCAGCCGGCGTCCGCGAAACAGACGACAACAACCGAGCAGCATTCCGCAAATGGAGTATCGTTCCAAGTCGACTAGTCAAAGCAGACTTCCCCAACCTTAAAACCACACTTTTCGGTCAAGAATACAAATACCCCATCGCCTTTGCACCGGTAGGCGTACAACGCATCTTTCACCGCGACGGTGAAATCGCAACAGCCGCCGCAGCATCCAAGGAGAACGTTCCGTACATTCTCAGCTCGGCTTCATCGACCAGCATTGAAGATATTGCGAATGTTGATTCCACGAGTACACGCTGGTTCCAGCTCTATTGGCCGTCAAACGAGCACAATGACATAACGAGGAGTCTTCTGCAAAGAGCCAAGCAATCGGGGTGTAGCGTACTTGTAGTTACGCTTGACACGTACATTCTTGGTTGGCGTCCATCAGACCTTAAAAATGCATTTAACCCTTTCCTGCGCCCGGATAATATCGGCGTGGAGCTGGGTTTTTCGGATCCTGTTTTTCGGCGCCAGTTTCGGGAACGGCATGGTAAGGATGTGGAGGATGATATGGGAACCGCGGCGGCGGAATGGACTCGAACTATTTTCCCGGGCACCAGCCATTCTTGGGAAGATTTGGCATTTCTCAAAGAACATTGGGATGGACCGATTGTTCTGAAGGGGATTCAGACCGTTCGAGATGCGGAACAGGCTGTGGAAGCTGGTGTTCAGGGCATTGTGGTTTCTAATCATGGAGGTCGTCAGCAGGATGGAGGAATCGGGTCTCTTGATGTCCTTCCTGAGATTGTGGACGCTGTTGGGGATCGGCTAGAAGTTATCTTTGATTCTGGGGTGAGAACTGGGGCTGATATTGCTAGAGCATTGGCGCTCGGTGCGAAGATGGTTCTTATTGGTCGGCCGTATGTTTATGGGCTTGCTATTGCTGGTGAAGCTGGGGTGTCTCACGTTTTGCGTAGCATTTGTGGTGACTTGGAACTAACGCTTCATCTTGCTGGGATTCCGTCTTCCTCTTCGGAGCATTTGAATAGGAATGTCCTGCGGAGGAATGAGTAAAGGGTGTTGTATCTGATTTTATTGAGGCGGCTTGAGGAGAATGCGTTCTGAGCAGCTACCCAAGAAGGAAGAACTCCTGAAGCCAAGGAAATAGACCGAAGAAATTTGCATTTACATGAGTGAATAGATAGTCGGATGGCGGGAACGGAGAGGGAGCTTGAAAAGCTTCACTTCTCACCAGTCTGCAGCTTGATACTAAACCCAGCCACATCATACAAACATTGAAATGCATACAGCCTATAAGTCTTACACTGATTGCCGAAGAAGAGGGAACAAATCGACTAAACCGAGGCAAACAATGAAGTCATTGATAGTCTTCCCCGCATCAACCCCAGACCAAACTTTAAACAAATCCCGATGCTTAGTATACTATTCCACCGGCAACAGCACGTCAACCGGATAATAACAACCATCAAGGAAAACATAGATGTAGATCTTTATTGACAGTATATCCTTACTACTTATTTCCGTTCAACCCCCACTTTCCCTCCCCCTCCCGCCTCGATGCATTGCTCAGTCACAATGCCAAACAAATTCCAAATAAACACCTACAGCTTCTGGATAGTCACATACGTGGCTATAGGCACAATCTCCAGTGCCTACGGCCTAGCAATAATAGGCACAACAGTCGGTCAACCAAACTTCTACAAATACTTCAATCTAGCCCCACAAGGTACACAAGGATACGACCACACAACCAACATAATCGGCGCTCTAAACGGCGTGAACTCCGCCGGTGCGATAATAGGCTGTATATTTCAAGCCTGGGCCGGCGACTACTTCGGACGAAAATGGACCATGCAGTTTGGACTAGTTGTTCTGGTCGTGGGTGGTGCCTTGTGCGCAGGCACAGTCGACATCGCGATGTTTATCGTTGCGCGTTTGGTCGCGGGGATCGGATCAGGTGCTTTAGCCTGTATTGTACCGACTTATCAAGCTGAGATTGCTACTGCCGAGACCAGGGGTGCGATGGTTGCTATTACGGGGATTATGTATGCGGTTGGGTATTCGATTGCGGCCTGGCTTGGGTATGCATGCTATCATATTAAAGACAGTGATTCGGCGGTTCAATTCTCTTGGAGGTTCCCTTTGGCGGTTCAGGTGCTTTTCCCGCTTATCGTGTTGGTCGGGAGTCCGTTTGTTCCTGAGTCGCCGAGGTGGTTGTTGCAGCAGGGATCGCGGGAGAAAGCCTTGTCCGTTGTGACGCGCCTGCAGCGAGATACCGTGAACGCAAGACAGGAATTCTTTTTGATTGAGAAGCAGTTTGAACTTGATCGGTCTATTCAGACGAGGTGGTTTGAGATCTTGAGGACTCCTGCTAATCGGCGCCGGGCGTTTGTGGCGTGTGCGTTGATGTGGGGAGATCAGTTTCTGGGGATTTTCATCATTACGAACTATGGTGTTTTGATCTACGAGAGTATTGGATTCGAGGATCCCGTGCCACTTCTGCTTTATGCGTGCTGGGCCAGTTTCACTTTGATTGGAAATACGTGGACAGCACTCTACGTCGACCGTTATGGACGCCGAAACTTCCTGCTCATTGGGTCCATTGGTTGTGTTGGCTGTCTGATCTTCTTGTGTGCGCTCTGTGCCCAATACCTCGGAACGGACAACGCAGCCGGACTACACGCTGCTGTGTTCTTCGTCTTCTTTTATTGCTTCTGGTGGTGTTTCTTTATGGATGCTACGCAGTATATCTACATCGCCGAGATATTCCCGAATCACCTGCGGACTCAGGGTGTTGCGCTGGGTATTGCATTCTTCTACCTCGCTTCGGAAGTCACTCTGGTCGCTGCGCCTGTGGGTCTGGCCAAGATTGGCTGGAAGTTCTACTTGGTTCTGATTGTTCCGTCCTTGTTCTATATTGGGGTGATCTACCTTTTCTTCCCAGAAACGAAGGGACGAGCTCTCGAGGAGATTGGTGCTTTGTTTGGTGACGATGCTCATGTTGCTGTTCACTGGTACGATGCGACAGAAGAGGAACGTGAGAAGATGGCCGAGGAGGCTCTTCGAGGGCTATCTCAAGCAGAGAGCTCTGAAGACAAGGTCCATTCGTCTCACCTTGATTTTGCAGAATGATTGCATACATAACTACTCGCAGCAGCGCTGTGTGCTACAGGTGGTCTATAGAACGGTTTTGTGTGAGATATTCTCTCTTTCTACATATTCAGTATTGCCTTTATACGTCCATCTGTTCTCTCCTCAGAACCCAATCAAGGAAGTAGCTGGTATCTGGCTTCTTCACAACCTGATCCTCCACAATGATAAATTCCTTAAACTTGCGCGGAGGAACTTCATGAGCGTAGAGCGCATCAATATCCGGGTATGACCTGTTTTTCGTCTCAGGCTGGAAGAAATAAAGCCCAACCATAATGAAGAGCTCCGCGCCAACAAACAAAAACATAACTCTGCCACCCCAGTTCAACTCATTGGGATTGATGAAATAGGGGAAGACAGAAGAGAGTAGCAGTGCTGTAAGCTGCTGGCAGACAAGCACAAACGCAATAGTCTTCGGACGCGTGGCCTGTGCAGCCGTCTCCTGAGCCACAGCCCACCCATAGCATCCCACAGTCGCGGTATAGAGCATCGACCAGGTTATCATGAATGCGAGCAGCGCAATATTGGCCGAGGTATTAGACGTCGGCGCGATTGATACGCCCGCAATAATAACAGACCAGAACATGAGAAACGTGCCACCGCCAATAAGACCCTTGCGACGGGGAATTACATCAGACAAGAAAACGGCGACGACATTGGAGAACAGTTGGAGGGTAGATGAGATTGCTGTCAGTTGGAAGGAGTTTGTTTGGCCAATTAATTCGAAGTAGTAGGTTTGATAGGTGTTGGCGAAGTAGCCACCGCTGAAATTCTGGGATTGAAGACCAAGAACTGCGACGAAGGTGCGAGATCGGTGCTCTTTAGAGAAAATGCTTTTCCAGCTTGTCTGTCCACCCGCAGACTCCTCGCTTTCAAGTTGTCTTAGCTCGAGTTTGATGGCTTGAATGTAGCCTTCAACATCAGATTTAGGTCCATATAATCGAAGGATGGCCTTGCGCGCGTCAGCCTCACGGCCTTTCTTCATATACCACACCGGGCTTTCAGGAAGGAAAGGAAGACCGCAGAGGTAGATGCCTGGAATGACGAAAGTCATGAGAAAAGCAAGCCGGAAAGACCAGTTTCCAGAGATGCTAGAGGCTCCATAGCCCGTGATCGATGAACAAAAGTATCCGAAAACAATAATGACGTTAGTGAGAGATGAGGCCGTACTGCGCAAATTGGTCGGTGCATTCTCCGTCACATAAAGCGGCGGAAGAACCGTTGATAGTCCAACCGCGAGACCAAGGAGAAGCTTCGACACGAAAAGAACAGGCAGACTGGGTGCGAAAACCAATGCAAAGGATGAGCAGAGAGAGATAATCACGGCAGTAAACAATAGCTTCTTGCGACCTATTACATCTGCAAATTGACCGGCAGCGTACCCGCCAAACACTTGTCCAATAGTCGATGCTGCATTCCAAAGAGACTGCCATAAAGCGGGGATAACCCATTCCTTGCCGTCCGTGTAATAATTTCCATAGTATTGACGGAAGGCGGGAAATGCAATGGCGGTTCCCGAGAGCCCTGAGTCATAGCCATAACCGAACGTAAGAAGCATAGTGTACAAGGTCCACCAGCAAAAGCGACGGTTGGCTTTGATAGCCAACCAGAGTTTGCTCCATTGCTCTCTTGCGGTTAAGTTTTGCTCTTGGTGTATGTTTTGCTTCGTTTCACTTTCTTGGGCAATTTCGATGTGACTTGGAGCAATCTTCTCAGCCTCGAGGGACTCATTTGAAATAGTGCGATCCATGGCGACGTGGACAGCGAAGAAGCGCAATAGATGATTCGATGGATTGGGTCATTCTGGCATTGGAACCATGTTCTTTAAATGTAGAAGGAGTGCGGAGGTTCCCCATGGGGAAAAATATGGGTACCGTGAGGTATGTAGGAATTAGGTTCCTCTCGGTCCGAAGCTCGGTGAAACTTGTATGATCTATCATGGCGACGGGGAAATTTCACACAGTGCAATTTGATTCAATGAAATTACCAGCGAAAGCCTGACCTCAACGAGGTGAATACTACCGAAGATTGTCAATGTGGTGTGGTGTGGTTGGTGTTGGTCATCAATCGGTTGTTGGAGCTGAAGCGGTGGGTTCCCGTTATGAATTCGGAGCGCCACCATCAAGGCGTTGATGCCATAGAGGATGCATGATTCGGAGGTATTGCTCACGTACTAGGAAGTTGGCATCTATGTTGATTAGAATTAGCAATATTATGACAGCTGAATAGTTGCAAAGTACTTCTATCGTGGCAACACTGCCCACCATTTCTGCGGTTTCAGCCCCGCGTATTTAGCTCACACAAATGATTCAGACACAAGGATCGAGCAGTATTGAATTGAAAAAAAGACAAAAGTGAATAAGTCTCCCAATCTATCCTGAACTCAGTCGTCAACTGGTATCACTTGAAGTGGGTCTACGCTAAGATAAGATAATCACCACGTGACTACTTCCCAACCATAATTTTCTTCGCTTCGTTTTTCCTCCTTCTTCCACACACTTGTCAGTCGCAACAAGCGACCTGGGATTTTGATGTTTGAACTCCAGGACCGCAATTGACATTGCTGCAACACATCCGTATACCATGTGGCTACTCATGCGAAGCCAACACAACACAAAGACGCCACTTCTGATTCCTACAGAAACCCAGGAAAACGCGTTGTCAAACCTTCGGTTGAAGACCCGATAATCAGATCGCGTCTCCATCTGTTGGCTTAAATACTCATACTACATGATTGTATTGGAAGCGGAGCATAATCCTGCTGCTTCTTTCATACATGACTGCCCCCTACATACTTCTCTTCACGATTATTATGATGATTTTTTATCAATATTGAACCAGGTTGTTATACACTTAGACTCCTGGGGCATGATCGCAAATACACTGAAAATTCTGATCAATCACGAAGATGAAGTTTTGTTGTCGCTTATCGACTTTATTATTCTACATTCAAATTTGATATTATTCCAAACATTAAAGAGCAAATCCCACGTATTTAGAATTATCTCAAATGTCTCATGACTCTTACCATTGAAAGCCTCATGTGATAATTCTTGTGCAATCAATCAATCTGACATACAATGTCGATGCATGGAGCAACAGTGCACTCCATAAGTCAGGTGACGGAAGTGCAGCAAAACAAGCCAGACAAATTCCGTGAAAAGGTTGTCTTAGAAGTCGGCGTAATCCGATAAAGATCTCACTGTCTTGGTCGTAGAGTTGTGCAATAGCTCCATGCCTACAACTGCATTCGAGTGAGAAACATGGGTCACCGAAATCATGAAAAGGTCAGATCAAGTATGTGAGATAATCCCTCAGGATATGCATGTTCGATTTGATCTTAATTCATATCACCATTGAGTCAGAAACAATCAGAAAGATAATATACAAACCCAGGCATTCCTCAACCATGGAACCATAATTATAACCTTTCATAAATCACCTCTTCCCCCCTTTGTCCGCCTGACTCTCCTCAAGAGCCTGCTGAACCCACGACGAATCCTTATCTACCCGTGATGCCCGCTTCGATGTAGCCGGTGATTGAACCTGAGCATCCTGCCTTGCGGTACGAATAGAACTAAAACAGTACGTGCAAAGAAGCACGGCCATAGTGAAAGCTGCAATGGGCGCGTTCAGAGACTTGAATCTTGTTAGTCCCTGTCTTATTAAGTGACCGCCACAGTGCTAGGCGACGCTGTGGCTGATGGCCTCGCGAAGATCGACTTACCCCTGAAGGCCGGCCAAGGGCCTTAAGATTAGGTGTGTTTTTTTGTGTCATGGTAATATGTAGATTGCATGCCCAGGTAGCTGACACTGATACTGGATCAGATTAACTTGGGCTGGACACGGATGGTCCCACTAGCAAGTATTTTTCCGTTTTGATTGGTTGATTTCTGGTATCGCCTCACAAGCGCAACTGTGGTGCACTGCGAGTCAACTACAAGGATCGGTAATTTCACACTCCCTTGTACTGATGTTGCTGAAGGAAGGGCCCTTGTTTCAAACTTAAAGGCTGTCGGTTTGAACATTGGATGGGGAGTTGGGCGGGAAGATGCCAAGAATTTCTCGGCTCCACTAACGGCGTTTTGTCATCAACCTTTGAATGTTGAATGTTTGCCAGCTGGTTCCAACCACTTTGATAAGAGAACCTATGATTTAGAAACATGTAGATACAATGATCAAAACCCGTTCACGTACGACCTCTCTCGGTGGGCCTAGCTCTAGGCACACAGGGTTATCTTGTTAGCGTAGTAGGGTTGGGCTGCTCATCTCGAAGTCTAGCCCACCCCGCAGATATCATAATAGATATCCATCCGACCAGACTTACCGCCTGCTGATGTTGTTTACATAATTCCTAACTACGATCACTTTCTACCCTTGTTCACAGGTACTACATATTTGCGCCAAAGGAAATTGGGCGTTCGTTCAATCTTGTATATCCAAAAGCAACATTTCCAGAGAGATGCTACTAAATACCTATATTACCATCAGTATTCAAACCCCACTAACTGCAGCTTTCACAGATCACCGCCTGCATAATTTGCCACTGAAACTCAAACTCGGGTGTGATTGCTGGAGGTGCTGCTGGTAGCTTCTAGAAGCTGTAGCTGGTGGAGTTTGAACAGTGGTAGTTTTTATAGGCATTCAGCAGCATTTAGTTTAGAGTTACGCTTTCGAAATTAAGAACAAACTGCCTGTTCCCTCTCCAGGGCTGACGCAAACTCTAAATTGTAATTCGCCTTAGTTTCAGATGTAGGGTTGACTTTCAGATGTAGGGTTGACAGCGCCTCAAGATATAAGTCCCGCCCAAAAGAACGCCATGACCAAGAGCAGCTGCTCCATGTATCAATAGAGGTCGTTTCTAGAAAACCTTCCTTCAGCAGCTCTTCAACATCGTTTGGCTCCAAATTATTCAAAGTTGTGGTTTCGTCCAGCGCAGTTTCTTCGCGGTTGATGGGGATGAACTGAATAACTTGCTCAATCCAGAGCCGACTACATTCGGGTGGCGGGAGGTAGGAATGTCGAACTGAAATTGCTTCAAGATAACCCGGGGATAGCACGAGTAAACGATTCATCATCTGATCCCGGTTTATCTGAAGATGGGAGACTGCCCGGCACAGCGTCATCGCGGTTAATGGATATAAACCGACTGATTTGCTGACTCCAGAGCTGACTTCGTTGAACTGGCGGGAGGTGGGACTATCGAACTCGAAATGCTTCACAATACCTGCAAACAACGATTGCACCCGAGACCAGCACGATCGTACCTGGAAATAGCACGATTGAGCAGTTTAACACCTTCTGATTTCGGGTTATCTGAGGATGTTAGTTTGCCCAGCGCAGCGTCGTCGCAATTGATTGGGTGAAACCGGCCGCCTCGGTGGATCCTGTGTTTTGCATAGTTGACAGATGTATTATTTATATCTTGCAAAGAAAACATCCCTTCTTGCACGGCTACATCCTGAAAAGGGTCATCGCTATCCGCACCAGCGATTTCGTAGTCATTTCGTGGTACTAATGAAGGCGATGTATTGTTTTGCATGCTATCATGCTCAAACCCATACTGGGATATGGACACGGCTTCAGCTCCTGTAGAAACGTCCGGAGCCTCGGATGGTGTACCCTGGCCTTGGAATGCGGCATTGGGAATTCCAGGTGGTCTCCACGTGACAGGAAATCTAGACTCGGTAGGTAGGTGGCCCTGATTTCCAGCCTGCAGTTGGTCGAGGATGGTGTTGCGAGGAGCCATCATGTTCTGACCCACAGACTTACTTATCGGCGCAGCCGTGATGGAAGGATTGTAAAGCTCATCATGATAAATATCGGAGATTTTTCGCTTCATTGTGGGGAATCTCATCGACATGCCACTGTTGTTGGAGTGTCCTTGAGGTAACCATCATTAAAGCTAAGGAATTGGTTCTCTCACCATTCGCCATATCTGCTTTGTCGAGCTCATCCAGGCTCGTCTGAGAAGCCCTCGGAGAGAGCGTGGTCTGGGATAGAGATATAGGTTGATTCCCCAAAATAAACCCTGGAGCTTCGGACAGTGGGCGGGCATGAAATCCGGAATTGTGATACAAGTCTTTCCCCCAGTTAGGAATACTGGGAAATAATTGGTTCCTCAGGTGAGCCGCCAAAACGTCAGCAATACGTCCGATATTCGTTGGTTTTTCTGAGGTTGGTAATAGATGCTAGGAGTCGGTTTTGGAAGAGACATGGGATCTTGAGACGATGAGTAGTCGTCCTGTGATGATGGGCGTGGAGTGAAAGAGATTTCGGGGGCATTGGGGCCAGGGCTAAAAAAACCGGCCGGTGTGGAGACGTCTTCATCTACTGTTGGTAGGTTACCGAGATTTCCAAACTCGCCCTGTGATAAAGCACGCAAGGTGGTGTGAATGAAGTCACGGTTCAAGGAGAATATCTCTGGGGTAATCCCGATACTTTGTAGCTCCTTGCGAAGTTGTCTCCATTCCACTTCCTCACTTTCTGAAAGCGATCCAGTGGAGACAATTGAAATAATGGATGATTCGCGTCTGCCAGTGCGAATCTCGTTCATGAAAGCTTTCAGCATCCGTTCCACATTATCCTGCGAGGATCTTAACAGGAATTAGTTACCATAATTGCATGGTACATGATATTCGCGGAGCTCACTGTATAATCTGAGTGTTCAGAACGTTTAGCACGTTAATGTATACCGAAAGCCTTGATCTAATGTCTGCTATTTCAACTTCGGCCCAGCCCATTCTTTCCCAGGTGACCTGAGTTTGAGGACCGACAGTATCGAAGTGATCTTTCAACTTTGAAAGATCATGCAGAACACCATTACAGTTGTCCAAAGTGTCTTTTAGCTCTGTAAAATGGTTACTTTTCGCATGAGCCCTCTGGGTGTGTTCTTCGGTCACGTTAAGGATGGACACAAAAAGGCCAAGCTCGTTTCGAATCTGATTGAAAAGTTCAGATGAACTGAATAAAGACGTATAAAGTGACTGAGCTATTGGTCGAATTTCGTTGATATGAGCTGGTAGGTTTGATAGGTTAGAGTTCGGAACTAGCTGTTATAGACGGAGGCTTTTACTGATGTTCACGTCCCGGTTTGCCGTGATATTGCCACTGAAGACAGCCCCACCTTGAGTGTTGAAGGCTTGGAATTGCTCTGTGAAAGGCATGCGATGTTAGTTAGGAATTCCCTCAAGTCCAACATTCAGTTTTTTTGAGCATACCTGCTAGGTGGTACGTCCCTCCTGTATTGAGACTGCCATTGTTGACTCCAATCTGAACCCCTTCATTTGAGCCAGAAAAGGATGCATTGTAATTCGCTGACATTGCCATGTAACATATCGAGGATTTTGATCGTTGAGTCGAATTTAGGGGCCGCAAATGGCGGCTTTTTTTCTCTCGGTGCGGTGCAGCGAAAAGTGCTCAGGCAGCTCAGCCTCATCAGGTGATGTGACGAGCCACGAGTCCAATACACCAACAACGTTAACACCTGGGCAGGCCACATAGGCATATCACTCACCATTCCATCTCATTAGATATAGATAGTTGATTATCACCGGTGATTCCATCGACCTCTCCGTCTCGTTTTTGATAATTATGAAAAAGAGAAAAGGCTGACCTCTTCAGTATCCTACTTCGCCGTCTAGTGAATCAACTCCCTCGTAAATTTTCCGTCTACATAAAATCCTAGGTCGCTCGTTGTCTGTATGACATTGATACCCGCGCTATATTCCTGACTGATATACGGGTAGGAGTGGATATCAATTTCCCCTTTCAGAGGTACATTGATGGTTTCAAGCCCTATTCGCAAGAAATATAATGTATAGGTAGATATTTGTTAGCAAATATCGTACTAAGAGAGCTGACAATCGATGGTCCCTCAATGCTTTAGAACTTCTCTTCTTTGAGAATTCGCTGCTTTCAACTGCATGCCAGTCCTTCGCAGCGTAGAGCCCGAGTGTTGTTGTAGGTGGAAGGCTTGAGCAGTTCGAACGATCGTCCGTGCTCATCAAGATTCGTCAACATCATCACCCAAAGTAACCTTCAAATAGTCCTCTGCCTCATCATCATCGTCATCACCACGAGAAGTATACAAACTCTGCCAGCAATTACCCTTTTGTAGAGTAGCCGCATCAATATCCTTCCTGCGATACCACTTGAATTTGAGCTGACGATACTGCACGGCGTACACTGCCTCACCGATACAGGGTAGATCGCTCTGCTCGCTGCTCTTGAGCGAGGTGTCTATATCTCTGTGCCACAGACTTCGAAACCCGACTACCAAGTATATCTGATCATTTGAACGTTCGATTTGTTTTTCGACCCACTGTCGTGTTTTTCTCTTGGAGCTCATTGCTTCGAACCAGTCATTTGAATTGTTTAGCGTGCATGAGCTGGAGCGGTCGACCGTGACGGAATAGTCGGCTTCGGTGGGATTACCCTTGGTGGACATTTTTGACAGAATGTTCGTATAGCCCATAGCGGAAAGATTGATGGTATGTGGGACTGATTGATGGATGACAGCGAGTTGAGCAGAAGATGGGGATACTGGCAAGGAGTAGAAATTATCTCGTGGAGACAAGGTATCCGTTATTAGACTACCGATGAAATTCTTTTCCACGGGGAAGATATTGTGCAAAATCCCAGAAGGTAGAGGGGGAGCGGAACTGGCAACTAAAGTTTCTGTTGAAGAAGTTGAAGCGGCTGTCAAGTCAACTTTGGCCTTGGGAATGATGCCCAGTAACTCCTTTGCATAGGCTGCAGCGACAATCGCAGCATAGGGCTGCCATTCCTTGGCTTTGAACTCATCGGCGTAATCACATATTCCTCGAATAGCCAGACAGGGGAAATTATCAAGATCCATCAGCCCTGCAGCTTCCATTTCGACGCAAAGAATGTCATGCTTCGCCGCCAACTGATCTCTAGTTTTCCCGTGCTTGATGAGACGGTTTCCAGAAGCTATTGTTCCATAATGTATCTGTGGGAGATCAGATGACCGTGCTGCACGCTGCACGACAGGCGCTTCACTAATAGGCAAATCTGGGTTTGTACAAGTATCATGAAGAATATCGTTCTCAGAGCCCGGTGACCGAAAACTGGGATACTGAGTGATAGCATCGTTTATAATTCCTTCAAGAAGACCCTTGTCCACCAGATGTGATGCACGGAGGTTACTCACTGCCGTGAGAACGCTGAAAGGAGGGTGATTCAGCGAGCCCGTCGGCAGGAACTCTCCATCTGCAATTGTCTTGCCGTAGTCATATGCGACAACACCTCCAAACGAGCCGCTGGGGATACCAACAACAACGTCTCCTAGACGGATATCCGGTGTTGATCGTGAAATAGGAGGAACGCCGCCCCCAATTCCTACCATCAGCCCGAAGGAAAGATTGGGGAATGTCGTGATCATCTGCTTTGCGACGATAGCTGCGGAGGTAGTACCATAGACACCTGAGGGAAGACAGGCGATCACGACGTTATGTGAACTGATACTCCCAAGTGCGTAGCTGTTTGTGTCGGTGCGGGGTTGCTCGAGATCGGGGTGAGATTCATCCAACAGACATCTCGCTGCGGCCATCTCGATGGGTAAGGCGCATATCCAGCCGATGTGGTAGCTGCTGTGATTCAAAGTCATGATGACAGTTGTGCCAGAAGAGTATCACGTATCTGGTGTCAGAAGTGTCATGCAGAGAATTTATCTGCGAGTGAGCGCGTGCGGCATAAGACAAAATGGCCCCATAAATAAGCACGAAAGACACTAAGCTAATCTTGAATATGATTGGTAGCAAAAGTACCATCTGTGCCTGACTATATCTAAACCTAACACGTACCTTGCTTTAGAAGCTCGATTTTACATGCAAGAGCCAATTCCCGCTGTTGTGGCACCAATATGGTACTGTACTCAACCGGTTCGAAAGCTAAACCATCAACTTTAACAAGACCATTCTACCAATTTCACATTCTTCAACCTCCAAAATGTACAAACTGCGCCCAAAAGAGAGGCTGGTCCTCAAATTCAGACCGCACCTCTTTGACAGCCAAATGAAACGCCTCCGCTACAGCTCGGCCACTATCAACACCCGGTTCCGCCACCAGCGCAGCAAGATTTTGATAAAAACCAACAGCAACATCACGACTGACCAAGTCCGGCGCTGGCCACATAGTGCCCAAAACATGAGCAAATCCAGCAACCTGGAATCCACTCACAAGATGAATCGCCTCATCAAGAAGCTTGGTTGCTCTATTCTCAGCAGTCGAACAAGCAGACAAATATGCAATACGAGCTCGTTTCAGATCCATTTTGACAATTGTTTCCACTGTCAACGCTCCACATTTCCCAGTGTCAGAAGCTTCCAGACCTTCAGGTTCGAGCATCAGGTGGCCATTGAGTGGATTTTTGCTATCGGATAGCGCATGGCATGCGAAGTGGACCATATCATAGGATGCGAGATGAGATAGTACAGAAGCGGGTTGTGGATGAAGAAGACTCTTGACAGAAAAAGTGGGCTCAACTTCTTCTGTGATCTCTTCTATCTCATCTTCAACACCGGAGAGTGGTGCATGACCGCGTGTCGTTGGCATGCCGACCATCAGCAAACTGGGATTGGGTCCGAGTGCACCACCGCTTAATTTGGCTCTGACTTGAAGCATCGTCTTGATAGATGGTGAATATGAAGAGATGACATACGAAAATGTGCTCTCCGAGTTGAGAGTGCGGTCGCAGGCTGCATGGAATGGAAGCATGCTCGCCACTCCACTACCAATCCAACAGACTCTCGGTAGCTTACGCGTTTCTGTTGAAGGCTGGGAGTGTAATTTGATCCGATCAAAGATGGGCTTCACGCCGGAAACCCAGAGCCAATGAAGAAGACTGGTGTACTCTTCATTCTGCCTTTTTCGACCCGCTCGATCCTTGGCCTTCCGAGTAAGATCTTTCTCCAGCCATTCAAGTGTTCGAGAGCGTGATAAATCGGGGATCTCTAGACTGTCTATCTTCTCATCGGAGATGATGATGGCATCACTGCGAGTGGTGGTGATGTTGACAACGATTATAAATTCTCCTTTTGCTCCGGACCTAATAGTCTCGAAATTTGGCCCAAGCAGAAACTGCGTTTGTCCAGGGAGCGACCGAATGACTTCCACGCATTCGTTGAACTGGGATACAGATGCGAGCCGTTTTTGAAGAAGCCCTTCCGTTGCGCTGGGGCTCATACCCTTGGAATTGAAGGTCTGATTGATTTCATCCTGGAGTTTTCGGAATCGGGACGCAAGCTCTGTAGATGCAGATTCCAGCTCAGTAAGGTCCACTCGACTACTCATCAGTAGATCAAGGATGACCGTTCGTCCTTTCTCCAGATACTCCAGTGCGTCTTGCAATCGACCCGCCTGCAGAAGGAGGGAACACGCATTCCCAGCGATTCCAGAAAACTCCCGGACGACATATTGTTGATCGGTGATCTGGAGTGATCTTGTTGTTACCTGAGGAAGAAAGTTAACGACTTCCATCGCTATTGTTGTGGCTTCATCAAATCTTCCCAGATCTCTCAGTCTATAGACTGCCTGCGATCCAGCTAGCACTCTGTCAAATGGTAGCCCGTTCACAACTCTCCAGCCATGCAAACGGTGATTTACGGCAGAGATAAGGTCTTTCTCATCGCTTTTCTCCAAATACCGGGCGTAATATCTGGCACCCAGATTGGAAGAGTATCCGGCACGGCTTGGGTCATCAGCATGCATGATCGACAACGCCTTCTCGGAATTTTCGATTGCCAAGTTCAAATCTTCAATATTTTTCAATGCATTGAACCGTGCCTCAAGAGCGTTGGCAAGATTATTGAGACTTCCTGGATAGTGCATGTGGGTAGACGGCCGGAGAGATAATACCATCTCATAGAGGTCAATCACCTCTTCCATATCACTGGGGTTCTTTGAATCCTTGAACTTATCAATCAGATTGTTAGCGAGATTATTCATCACGTCTAGCTTTCCCACATCTTTGTTGGGGAGAAGGTCGAGTGCGAGTCTCTCATGATCGATGGCAGCTTCAAGACCATCTTTATCTCCTGTGCGCTTCCAGCGGGATCTAAATGCACCTGCTAGACCGCTTAAGCATCTTGCTTGCGCATTTGCGTTTGTCTTCTGAGTGTTGCGCGCTTTTTCAAGGTGCATGATAGCGCGGTCAAGGTCTTCTTGGTGTCCCTTGGCGTCGAATCGATTCACCAGGAGGTAGCCCAGTCTCATCAGATTGTCTGCTTGGTACTGATTTTCCTGGTCCTGGTACCCTAGCTCTACAGCTCTTTCAGCTGCCTTTATAGCTTCGTCGAGATCTTCATTACTTCCTAGGGCCATGTATCGATATTCCAGCTCACGTGCCAATGATTCCAACAGGATATAATTCTCTTCAGGCTCTTCATGGATGGCCGCTTGGACTCGCCTCACTGCCTCCTCTAGATCTTCAATTTTTCCATTGAGCTTGAAACGATGTCGAAAAAGATCTGCGTATACAGAGCAGAGTAGCTTCCAGTGAGGCTCAGACTTGGCAGTTAAAGACATAGCTGCTTCTATCAATTCGAATGATCGTTCCAGATCCAGAACTTCCCCATTCAGCTCATGGCGTAGCAAAAATGCCATTCCTTGGCGATGCAAATATCTTGCCCGGCTGGAATCATCGGAATTCGTCATGATCAAAACTTCTTCGCCTAATTTTATTCCCCTGTCGAGCAACTCCGATGTCGAATCACGCTCATAAAGGTCGATAAGCCACATAGATAGCGCACTCAGATCTTTTGGGTGGTCTGGACTAGCCTTATCTTGTAGGTTAACCGCTTTTTCTTTGAATTCAATTGCCTTTCGGAGATCATCCAGCGTATTCCGCGCCCGGAATCTGTTCCTGTAGAAAACGCCAAGGGAATCAAGCCACCGAGGACGCAATTCATCGTCTTCGTTTCCTACCAGAATGGCTGTCTCAAGTTTATCGATCCCGATATCCAAGTATCGTGGATCGCGACTTTCTTCCCATTTCTCGCCATACGACAGAGCTAGGTTTGCAAGTAAACGAGAGGGAAGCGGCGCAGATTCGTCTGCTGGTTTCACACTGAGCGCAGTCGTGAACTCGAGGATATCAATTATTGCATCAGGCGTGCGGTCTTTCGTGTTTGGAAACGTTGAGATATCAACCGGATGACCTTTTTCATGCTGCCAAAGCTGTCGTCGCACTTTGTCCATTTGCAGCCCATAAGAGATGGTGACAGGATGTCCGCGGTCGAAGAACTTGAGACATATCTCGTATACTTTGGTCATCAATGATTCTGCCTCCTTGAATTTGTGTTTCAATACGCAGTTCTTGCTCAAGTGTTGGAAAACCAATATTGCTCTGCCATTCTGGAGCGATGGGAACTCGTCGCATTTTGCAAATAATAACCAAATATCACTTTCGACGCTTGCGACCTCTTTACATCCACAAGCAGCGTGACATTGACCCATCAGATTCCAGAGTGTGCGCTCGTCTTCAGCACCGAAGGCCTTCTTACACCTTTCCGTTGCATTTTGGAAGGCCAGCTCTGCCTCTGTATACTTTTCCTGCTTGAAAATCATCTCTGCCTCATTTTGCAAAGACCTGATGGTCCAGTCATGGTTTTCCCCAAATCTGTTCTCATATGTCTCCGTTAGCTGGTGGTGGATCTGGTGGGCTTCGGAAAATCTGCCTTGCTGATCAAATATGCCAGCCAAAGATATCATTAACTGGATTTGGGCATCGTCTGGGTATCCATCAGCATGTGACGATAAGCCAATGCCTTTTTGAATAATTTCGATGGCTTCGGTGAGTTTTTCCTGTTTTGCGAGTGCTATCGCCTTGCGTCGGATGATTCCTAAAGTCTTTGAATGACTTGGTCCATAGACATCCTCATAGGAGCGCAAGATTGAGGAGAGAGTCTTCTGTGCTTCGTCATATTTCTGTTGACCCTCGTAGGCACATGACAGGTTGAGCCAGGGTGGTAGCAGTCGCACAGACTTCAAACCCTGACTTTTCGTGGTTTGACGCACAATTGTGAGGAGTATGGTCTCCGCTTCGGAGTACCTTTTTTGATGAATGCGCACAGCTGCTAGATTGCTAGCAGCCTGCTGTGTAGATGGATGATCGGTCCCAAAGACAGTCTCATATCGGCTCAGTGCAGACGCGTACATCTCGCCCGCTTCAGTGAAGTTCTTTCGGTTGAATGCAATATTTCCTAGTGATATGGAGGCCCGTAGTGTTGCTTCGTCGTTTGGGCCCATGGTTTTGTCAAATGTTTCCCACACTCTTCGATAGATGCCTTCAGCCTCGTCAAGTCTACCTTGAGCACGGTATACCATTGCGAGTCTATTTTGTGCAATTAGAGTTGTTGTGTGGTCGGGACCTGACATGGCTGTTCGAGCCTCAACGACGCGATTATGTGTCGCTTCAGCCTCATTGAGCTTGACCAGCTTTCGATATGTGATTCCAAGGTACTCCAGCGCATCAAGTGTTCTAGAGTCGTGCAGGCCACACATTTCCTCATAGCCCTTGGATGCACGGAGTAAGTGGCTTTCCGCGGCTAATATATTGCCTTTGTCATGGTAGTCGATGCCGAGTTTGTAGGCAGCCTCTAGAGTCTCTGTGTGCAAAGACCCATCTGGTCGTTCATATCTATCCACTGTCGCATCGTGGATTGTCATATCGTGCCCAAGCCCTTCAGGGTCTTTTTTTTCTTAGCAGTCAAGGCTGGGGTAAGTTGGTTCTGCCGACCTTGCTTATTCTTGGTCAGCAAGCAGACAATTGTCAACATTCACCTTGCAAAAACACACCGACTGTGCTATCGAATATGCCATATATCCAAAACTCTGAACAAATGGATCTAAATCCAACACCGACAAGGAAATACACATATCGTGTTTGTGGACATCCATGCCACGTCTTAGCTTTCCCTCCGCTTTAGTGCTCACGCAGGACAACCGCGCTATTCCTAATATAGTAAACATGTTCAGCGCAACACACTTCAATAAGCTGCGATTCAAAGCGACCCTATTGAGTACAATGTGACTGGAGAAAATATTCTGGACTGCTTGTCTTCCCAAGAAAGATATCTCGTTATATTTACACCGATGTGAATCGCTAGTCGCGCATCGTAGTCAATGCCTCTCTCTGCTGCCATGAGTACTGCATAGGACGCAAGAGCATTTTGGTATACTATGGCTCGGAAAGTCCTTCGGGCATCTTCAAAATATTCATGAACCATACAAGGCCAATATTTCCACTTTATACGTGGAGGAATTTGAGACTAAAATACCTTCTCTCTCTTAACAAATGTGACATCGGTGCTCTTTCGCGTCTGGCCTTATGTGAAGGTGGAATTCGGGAGGCAATCGACAAGTTGGAGGAACTTCAAGCGAATTGCAGCTATCCTGCAACAAAATTATTCGATGGTGAATCTTCGATAAATATTTTATCGCGAGGTCCTAGTCAAATCCATCAGGACCCCGCGACCTTCAACCTCCAAGGCTGGTCCGCGTCTTTCTGCATACAAAGGATGCAACCATTGGAAGTCAAGTACCAGATTATAATGAGTGGCTCGAATGGTGGTAGCGAAACGATTGATCAAATCCTTGATTGTTATTACGCAGGCATCCCTACGTTAGCGGGCTGCTTGGTCTAGTATGACAATACCGCCTTTTTAAAGGCAAATCATCAAAACATATAAAAGAATGACAGAAGTTGAAGAAGGGAGCAAGAATGGAAAAATGGTCAAAATCTGGTCTCTTTTTTCCAGCTTAAGTACATCGAAATGTCCCGGACTTTTGATCCTTCTAAGTCGCAGTTCATTTGCAAATTACCCTAGATTTACTCTCACTCGATAAGGACATGCGAAATTAGGTTTCGTAGATGATCGCTAGAATACATATACGCGAAGATGAGTGTAAAAGAGGGGGTTTGATCAAAGATGGTGATGCATCGTAATAGTTTTGCCCTATTTGTATAGAAAATCCGCAAATTACCCCTCTATGGACCATGAGTTTCACCGAAATCCGATCAGTTGATCGGGCTCTGCCCCCGAGCTAGTTCATGCATGCTCGGGCTTTGCATTATCTTTGAATTTGCCGAGTTCACTATCTCCGAACCTCCTCGGGGCTTCCGCGGAAATCGCGGATAAAATATTGAAGTTAGGCTGCAGAATTGATACAGTAAAAATTGCGGGAATAGTCAATTGACACGATCGAATTTGATAGAAAAGTGGCCGAATATTAAATCATAGAACGTTTATCTTCACCATGAACGTGATACCCACCATTTGATATCATAAGCATTCCATTGGCCGAGGCATGTTCCATCGGAAAACAAGAAAGTTGCAAGAGTCCACCGCGGACAACGTTAATGGCTGTCCGGCCAGGCTCGCCACCGACCCTTCGAAAGTGATATCACGAGGGTGGATTCTCACTGGATCAACTCTCGTTCATCATTTACCCTCAGAGAAAGCGGTGGGCAGCTATCTAGAATATCGTTGGTAGAGTAATCGACGCCCTTTGCAGGAATGCTTAGTCAACTCCGATGTCCGGCGATTCGGAGGTTCTAGAGTTCCCCATTAGGTCTAGCGCCACGCTGAATAAGAATCAGATTATTTAGCAATGAATTCATCATTCTCCTCTCCCATATCAGATCTGTTTTCGCCATCTACCCAACTTCATCCCCACCTCACCACACTTCACATTTGAATCCACCACACTTACTTACACATTAACTACTCGCAATGTTCAAGCGTCTGGTCACCGTCGCCCCCCGCGTCGGCGCTGCGGCGCCCCGTACTCTCGCACCCCTCTCGGCTCTGCAGTCTGTCCAGCCTATCCAGCGTCGTGTCGCTGCTCCTGCTCCTGCCCAGCGAAGGGGATACCACGAGAAAGTCCTTGATCACTACAACAACCCCCGCAATGTCGGCTCTTTCAAGAAGGGCGACATGGATGTCGGTACCGGTCTCGTCGGTGCCCCCGCCTGTGGCGATGTCATGAAGCTCCAGATCCGTGTTAACAAGGATACCGGTCGCATTGATGATGTTGTTTTCAAGACCTTCGGCTGTGGTAGTGCTATCGCTTCATCAAGCTACCTTACCGAGCTTGTCCGCGGCATGTCCCTTGATGAGGCTGGCAAGATTAAGAACACTGATGTGGCGAAGGAGCTCTGCCTCCCGCCTGTTAAGCGTATGTTCCCTTCGCTTACTTCACCGCACGCCAAATGAATCGTTAGCTAACTTGTATATTCAATCAGTCCACTGCTCCATGCTTGCTGAGGATGCCATCAAGTCCGCCATCTCCGATTACTACCTCAAGAACCCCAAGAGCAAGTCCACCGATCTTTCCGGAACTGGCGCTGCCATCCCCGATGTGACTGCTACCGTTGGTAGCCCCGCTGCCGCCGTATAAATTGATTAATAAAGCGGATGGATCCGGATCAGTTTCAGGGTTGAAATAGACCCGGGAACCAACGTTCATTATTGTTCTTGTTTTGACTTTTGACTGAGATGTGATTACCCCAAGAGCGTTGTGAAACACAAGCACAATCCTTTGATCGAGCGATACCGGGTTCCGGTCCGGAATAAGAATGGGAATGTCTACCGAGACTGAGAATATTTCGGTGATGGGAGTTTCAAACAAATACGCGTCATTTGTTTGCTGTACAGATTTTTTATTTTTACTTTCTTTGCTTGTTTGAATCATCTTTTTTTTTTTCTCTTTTTTCTGTGGGGGCGCCTCGGTATCTGGGATCCTCGATCGATACTCTATTTTCAAAAGCGATGGTGCCTTGATAGTTTCAATGAAACGATGAAAACAGAACTTATCTTTGTTGTAATTGCTCGTGTATAGATGTCGACATTTGGTAATGCATATCTTGCTCAGTAGAAGATACAATATAAGAGATCTATCTAGGTCTAACGACAGATCTATCTATACAGACCGCTGGATATGGACATCATAAAATTACAAATGGAAAAGAAAAACGCCACGGCCAGAGCACAGAATGATCAAACATTCGTGTCTCTTAAAGCGAGCCCGCTAGAAAAGGATATCTATGTACAATAAAATGACAGACATGATCACGAACCCGAGCCTGTGAGTTCAAGGCAACCCGGTTCGCAGACCAAATCGGCTTTTCAGGCTCAGTGCCGTTTCATAAATAGACAACTTCACCTCGACACGCAGGAATCCCATCCAGGCGGAGAGGAATTGGAAGAAATTCGCGAAGATGCCACCGGAATCGCGGATCGTCTCCATCTGTTCTTCAAAGACGGTGCGGGTAGCATAGCGCGCTAGAATAAGGAATGTGCGCATGGGGCCCTGGCGTGTGTGTAGGTTTTCGTCCAGACTCCGAGCTGTGGGGTTGTTAGTGGACGCACACCAAAGATGGTATTAGAAAGTAATCAGGAAAGGGAGGCCATACTAAGATCGTTGGTCTTGAGGATAAGAAGGATAATTCGCGGGACCTGGCTCAGCAACACAACTAACTGCTGCAGCATGCCTTCACCCAGAGCACCGGAAATCTCCTTCTTCTCCTCAGCAGTACGAGAAGAGACGACACTCTGCTTCGTCAAGACAGAGTAGTCTCGACCGGTGATAGCGCTAGCAAAGAGCGGGAACTGCTCGTCCGTGACGCCGGCTACTTTGTGGGCATATTCGCGCATCCGGGGGACATCTGCATCGATAACGGCTAGCCAAAGCTTGGCGTAGTTGCGGCGTAGCTCACGGGGGATGTTGCGGTACAGGCCGTGATCGTACAGGATGATGTCGAAGTTCGGGCGGCGGCGGGTAGTGTTGGGACGAATAGCAACGTTGCCGCCGTGCGGATCGCAGTGCAGTGGAGCGTTGTCACCGAAGATCATTTCGTTGAAGATGTGGGCAAACGCAGCGGAGACTTCGTCGCGATCGATGTTGTTTGCGTCGAGGAAGGCGACATCGTCGGGACGGGCGCCGGCGATGTACTCCATAACAAGGATGCGCTTCTGGGACCACATGACTAGAAAATTGTTAGAACTGATGGCAATTTACCAATTGATGTAAATTAAGTTTACCTTCGGGGATAACCAAGGGAGCGTCGGAGTGCTTCTTGAAGTACTCGCTGGTTTCAGTAGCATTCTGAGCTTCCATACGGAAATCCAGTTCGATAGGTAGGGAAAGATCCATCTCTTTAGATAGCCACTCCAAATCATAGTCTGGGAAGAAGCGCTTTAGCATGGAAAAGGTAAATCGGTTCAGTGCAAGATCCAAAGGCACCCACTCAGCGAGAGCCGGGTGTTGGACCTTGACGGCGACCTTCTGACCGGTTTCTCTAAGGGTAGCAATGTGAACTTGGGCGAGCGAGGCAGCACCAGTAGGCAGTGGCTCAAATGAGCTAAACAGCTCATCGATTGTCTGACCAGTGTCCTGAATAAACATCTCCCTGATTGACTCGATAGAAGAAACCGGGCATTTGTCCTGAAGCGGGATAAAGGTTGTAGTCCATTCGAGTGGAAGAAGATAACTCATGCTGCTGAGATGTTGGCCCAACTTGATGAAAATAGATCCATTCTTCTCAAGCACACGGAGAGTGCGCTCAGCGCATCGCTTGTGGCACGCCCGGATGTTGGCATCACGCTCTTCGGCGGTAGGGAACTCTTGTTTTAGGGTAACGCGGTAGCTGTAGTTTTGAATATATGTCAGGGGAAGTTCCAGTGCTGATATTTCTGGCCGGAAAGGCGAGTTCGCCCAGGGGGTACTCACTCATTGATACAGACTGCCAATGTACCCACCACGCGACCACTTCGTCCTGCGGCATGGTATGCATGCTTGATCTCATCGGAGTAAATCACAGCGCCGGCGCCGAGAATACTCAAGGCAATCAAATATTTGATCGCCTTGTTCGACTGAGGTGGCTTAGCTTTCGGCCCATCGTTTTGTTGGCTGGTCTCTGCAGTCAAGAGGGGCGAGGTTCTCGAGGCGAAACAACGTCTGGACAAAGCCGCGCTCGGGATCGGTTCATATAATCGAGGACTCCGTGACTGAGTGATAACTCGGGACGACGAGAAAGTCTTGCGCAGCGAGTTCGCGACTAGACTGGACGAGGCGCTAACACTTGAGGCTTTTGATATTTCTCGGGCTACCAGTGCGGGATTGGCCAGCGTCCGCAGCGGCACGCGAACTGCGGCGCTCATTCCGACGAGCTACCGTCCTGGCTGGCGAGAACAATAATCGGATGAGGAATTGCAGGGTTTCGCCTAAATTGTATCACGCCTCTGCCTGGAATTGTATGACCAGGGAGATTTTTTTGGGACGGTTCTCGCCGCCAATCGGCTACTCTCGCCCGATCTCCGGCCGTGGAGCACACGTGATTCTGAGTTAACTGACGTCATCCTGAATATCTTCAACACACTTCATGATTGTATTTCGGACACGGGATGTTTGAGATCACTGGTATGCCTTTGCAAATTACACTTCTTCATTGTTGACTAGTGAAATGTCACTACAGTAGGTGCCTAACTTATACGCCAGCTACTGAACCAAAACCCTGTATCCCGTGCCCAGGAACTATGCGCTAGCTAAGTTCGGAGGAGCTATGTTTTGTGCCAATTTAAGTGCTTGCCACTGTATCATGAATGATAATGTATTGAATACCTTCATATCAATAATTACGTCTGATTGAAAGTATATGTCAAGTCTATGTGCAGCATCCAGTGCCATCACAGCGTAGCAAAAAAAAGAAAAAACAATGACGTTTCAACAAACAAATAACCCTAGAGCCCACCCCGTCTTCCATTTTGATGACGCCACTCTAAAAGCAGATACAGAAGAAAATAATCATTGACAATGATTTAGAACAACAAGTACAAGGCATCAACTATTGTGGACCAATCTATGTCCATTCAGAATCGGCGACCGTGGTTCGGCGGCGTCGAGGAATCACAGAAGGTCGACGGCTGAGAGAGCTGGGGGCCTTGGCATCCTCATCTTGTAGAGTTTCAATGTAGGAAAGCCGGTTGGACATTCCCCGTGGGATACGGGGTCGTGGTGCAGCTGCACTGCCATTGGCTGCAGAGCTAAGGGCAGACGCGCTTCCGTCTCGACTGCCAGGTCGTAGAGCGAGAGAAGAGCCACTCAGGGCGTTGCGTGGATGGCGTGGGGTTTCGCGGCCTTCAAAGAATCCCCTTGACTGGCTTGTGCGGTTTGCTTGAGGAGTTGAAGGTGTAGAGCTAGAGAATGGGTTCGGCGGGGTCGTGGAAGTACTTTTCCTTCGGCTGACCGGTCTGCGCTTACCGACAGCGAAGGCATCGCTCCGCTCATTGGACTGAATCAGCTTGCCTGCCATGTCTCGGACAAGAATGGCGGGGTCATTTTCAAGCTCTCGAATGGCGTCCAGTAGGCCATAGGTAGCAACCAGGCTACCTTGCTGTTCACTTGAATCGCAGATGGTCGATATAATACGCAAGATATTCAAACGCACGGCGGCCTTGTTGTGGTGAAGCTTTTGCCCCAATCTGGTGAAAAGATCTGGCCGAGCAAATGTTGATGCTACAGGGGGACTCAAGCGAAGAAGCTTTTGTAAAGGATCAAGGATATTCTCGAAGGCGTTTGCCTTCGTCAGTGTCAAGCACCGCACGATAGCGTCAGCGAAGTTCCTGTCTGGGCGGGAATCTAGCAGATGCTCCTCAACCTTGGCAGTCTCTTCTTGTAGCCACGTAAAGATGGCATCTAACGCAGTCACTTGCCAGTATGGATCCGCGAGTAATGAGATATAGAAGGCCAGACCCTTATTGCGCCACAGCTCTCGCCGACCAACCTTGCCGGACTGTGCCATATCACACAGAATGGGCAAAGCAAACTCTTTCAAAGGCCTCTCGGTATTGACGATCTTCTGGAGCAACGGCACAATGCCATTAAGAGCAGCATCTTCCTGTCGAGACTTGTTCAGGCGACACATGTTGTAAATGGTGTTAAGAATTTGGTTCGAGACCTCTCTGAAATGGCCTCTCTTCATGGTTGACCGAAGCAACTCAGTGAGAACATCGATTGCATTGGAATTTTGAAGCGAGTCCAGAGTGGTTGAAAGCATGGAAAGGTTCTTGATGAACTTCAACATTGTGATTTGGTGGATAGGGGACATCCTTTTCAGTTCCTTGAGAACCCTGTGCAAAACCGTTCGCTCTGAAACCATTTCCTTGACATGATTCTCGGCCTGCGAGAAAATGAAGAAGATGTTGGCAATGCGACCTTCAATTATCTCCGCCAGCTCACCTTCCTCGTCCAACACACGGCTAAGGACGAGTGAAAGGGGATCTAGGACAGAATTACGCGACAAAATTCTGCAGAAGTCATTTTTCGGAGTTGAGCCCTGTGAGGAATTGGTAAGTTGCGAAAACATAAAGAATAAGTTGTCGTGGTATAGTTACCTGTAACTCAAAGACGCTCCAAATTCCGTTCACGCCAATCAATACTAGGTCGCGCTCATCCTCGTAATCATCCTCCAAGAACTCAACCAAGACATTAAGGCCACCGGCGCTAACAAACATTTGGAGTGTGAGGGTAGATGTTTGATACATCTGTTGTACAAAAGCAGCAGCTTCCAGACGAATCTCCCGCGGGTATTTTTTGGACGCAAACTCATTGATAATGGGAATACCACCAACGAAGCACAAATTCTCCTGAACTTCGTAGTCATTGTAGATTATGGCGTTGACAACACGGAGCAAGCAGATGACTATGTCACGTCGACGGGATGTGTCAAGGATCTCTAGAATCGGCAGCATTCCATGTGCGCTGATGATAATATTTTTGGTCTCTGGCAGGTCACAAAAATCAGTGAGCAGCTGCTCCGAGATGTCGGCAAGAACATCTTCATCCTGAGAAGTCTTCAAAGAGCCGACTAGACCTTCAACGTGGTTCCGGAGGCGTGCATACTTGTCACGCGCAATGTTAGCCTCTAGATCCATCTCATCGAAACCTTCTTCCAATTGAGCAAATGGGTCATCGTCATCATCTTGGTCTCCTAACCACGAGTTATTAGACAATTTTGAGTTGAGCATCAAAGTGCTACGATCCGAACTATCGTCAAGCTCTGTGGTATCCATGCCCACTTGTTCGGCTCCGAGGATATCGGAGAAATCTTCATCAGTCTCATTCTCAGCAAATTTGTGTATCTCGATTTTGGACCTGTCACGCTTCACAGAAAGCTGCTTGCGCAATTGAGGATGTTGACCACTTCGGTCATCATCAAACGCATTGTACCCGTTTTCATGCACCGGAGAATCAGGATCCTCGTCTTCGATAATGAGACCAAGTTTTCGATCGAGAACATCCTCGTTGGCCATTATGAGATCGGTGTAATCTTCGACGGAATTTTCTTTATAAAGGTTAGCCGGGCGCGCCCGTCTCATCGGTGGCACAGGATTTTGTGTCAAGATTGGGACATTCTGCAGAGCCGAAGCCGATGGCTTGCTTGCTTGGTGTCGAATAGGGCTCAGATTTTTCGATGGCTCAGCCGCTTTCGCTGAATATGGTCGTATTGTCTGTAGAGGGTCATTTTCCGATACAGACATCGGCGCATCTTCGAACTCATCAAAGCTGTCATCAGGTCTCAACATTGTCCCATCTAACGACGCAAACGCTTTCAGTCGCTCGGAGGAAAGCATTCCACCAAAGTTGTCATGAGGACGAAGATGGGGTAGCTGCAATGCGCTGGGAGATATGGCAGTTGCGAAGTCATTGTCCCAATTATCATCCTCAGCAGACTCCGGGGATCGAAATCGATCAGTGGCTTTAATGGAAGTCGGAGATGGCAATGTGTCCACAAGAGAGTTACGCTGTGTAGAAAAGGGCCCGACACCATGCTCAAACTTGTTACTCTTCCTCGATGTACCTGCGCCAGGAGACCGAAGTGCCTCATTCCATTCTTGTACACTTTTGACGGCCTCTTCATACTCTGTAGATTTCTTTGGGACCACAGAATCTGACCGGCGAGCATTGACGATCCAAGGGTGTTTGAGTAATTTTTTAGCCGAGACACGCAGATTAGGGTCTTTCTGGAAGCATTGCATCAAAAAGTCTTTCACGGCCTGCAATTTTGTTAGTGTTGCACATATACCTTCGGTCTCAAGTAAAACATACCGGGGAAGCACCTTGCGGAAGCGGAGGATGATCGTCATTGACGATGCGAAACAATGCAGGCATAGGCTGCAAATTGTGATAAGGCGGTTTTCCCTCTAAAAGCTCGATGACTGTACATCCTAAACTCCAGATATCCGAGGCCGTAGTTGCTCCGGAGAGCTCAATCACTTCAGGTGCCATCCAGTACGGAGTACCAACCACGCTTGACTCACTTGGACCAGTCGTCCTGCTGGCCACACCAAAGTCCGCAAGTTTGACAAGACCCTCTTTGGTAGTCAAGATATTGGCGCCCTTGATATCCCGGTGAATCACACCTTGCTCGTGCAGGTACAAGAGACCATGTAGCACTTGAGACATATACAATCCAACCAAGTTTTCTGGGAATCGACCGAAGTTCTTTGCGATGGAGTGTAGTGAGCCATTCTCGCAGTACCTAGGACTATCGTCAATATCTCGATTCCCTAGTAGTCTCCTTTTATGGATACATACTCGAGGATGATATTTAAAGTTTCAATAGACTTCACAAATCCATGGTACTTGACAATATTCGCATGCTGTTATTTTGTCAACACTTGTTCATGGGTCAGAACGTGGGGTGTCTCACATCAAGGTTTTTCAGGAGGTCGATTTCCAGCTGAGACGACATGTATTAGCAAATTTCGCAGTACAATGCGCAACGGGCAGATAGATCAGCATACCATAATAACACGCAACTCGCTCTTAGGGAGATCCGTCAGTTTGATTTGCTTCACGGCGACTGTCTCTCCAGTATTCCAGTTCAACGCACGGTAAACCGATCCGAAAGCTCCTTTGCCTAAGCAGTCGCCCAATTGCTGTAGAAAGCCACAGTCAGCACCTGTTCAGCGCCATACTGCGCGAGCGCATTAGATTATTCCATACGTAGTCCTTGAGCTCTGCCACATCCTTTGCCGATGATTTCAAGACCTTCTCCTCCTTTGGCTTCTCGTCTCGCTTGGTTGGGCTGGTGCCGATTCGTGTCAATCGCGGCTTAATCGGCGTGCCGGGGGTCCTGGAGGGGGTGAGGGGGCGCGGCCCCTCATTCCCATCGCCGGAGCGAGATACCATGGCAGCGTAGACCAGTTCTCTTTGGGGGCCAGTACGGAGGATTCGATCCGATCGACAGTCTCAGAATGTGGTTTCAGGTAGACGGGGGTGGGGTGAAAGCTAAGGAAAAAGGCAGGAGCCGAGGGCGACAGTCTCAGGGTTCATGTCCGCAGGTTCTAGAGAGCTCCAATTGTTAACTTGTCTGAATCAATCCGGTCGCAAATGATTGTGATAGGGGTGAAGGGTGTTGTCCGTATGCAGGTGTTGGGAGAGGGTCTCACCAAGCGACCATGACAGGAGAGAAGCTCTCTCGGGCTGGATAAGTGGACTTGGGGCCGATGCGCATTCAAAAGCACCGATATCAGGCGTTAAGATAACTGGAGTGTCCTCCGGACCAGAGCGACAGCAGCCAGATCAAACAACGGCGTTTGGAGTGTTGTGGTGTAAAATAGTGATTGTTTTGAACTTTCCTTCTCCACAGGCCGCTCGCCGCATCATGCAGAGAGAGCGGCTGTGCTCGTCTGCCCGCCGATCAGCCCTACGCCACAATCTTTTACAAACCTGATTCGTTTTGAATAACTGACTATTAGAATGATTTAATTCATTAAAAGTGGACTATTCTTTGCATTGTCATTCTATGATTCGTAAGAATACACACAGATTGCTATGTAGGTGGGTACCTACGCCCCGATCCATGGATATATAGCGCCCAAACCAAAGAAAGAGGGTATCATTTTTGTGCTGCCCGAAGCAGTCGGTGCACATCAGAAATCAAGTACAAGCTGCCTGCAATAACGAGTGGTCCACCCTGAGCCATCTCGCTAGCCCATTTAATGGCTGGGATGAGATCTCCTTCAAAACTGTCTACTTGGCCAATCTCAGGAATAGACCGGATGGTCGATGCCAGTTCCACGGCATTGGTGGGTGCCACCCAAGGCATCCCATCCACAGGCCCAAACTCGGCTGTTGCGACATTGTCTCCAGGTCGGATGATGGAGCGGAAAACTCCAGCCAAGTCTTTTCCACTCGAAGCTGCAACCACCCAAGTCACGCTTCCTTGGGGTCGGAGTTTGCGGTCGACGTACTTTCCCAGGACGTCGGCCGATTGGGGGTTATGCGCGCCATCTAAGAGGGCGTTTTCTTCCCGGCCAACCAGGGATTGTAAACCGATAGTCTCCAAGCGACCAGGCCACTTCACGTTGGTAAGATGTGGAAGTAGGGAAAAGGTATCTGCTCCAGGGCGGATCATGGGTAAAGCAAGGCGCAATGCTGATACAGCACAGCACATGTTTTCTTGTTGGTGGCGTTCAAGATCTGTCTTCTGGAATAGCTGCGCAAGCGGCGGGAGTTGCTCTTCTACCTTGTCCGGGGAGACAAATGTTGCATCGATGCCGAGCTCTTCAATGCGGGCTGACAAGGCCCCCAGCACCGCTGACTCGTTGGTATTATCAACGACGCAAGGCACTCCTGGTTTGAGGATTCCAGCTTTTTCCCGGGCGATTTCCTCAACTGTTGAGCCCAAAAATGCCTGGTGGTCCATTCCAATCTTAGCAATGACCGAGACCAGCACATTGCCCAGTATATTTGTCGCATCTAGGCGACCACCCATGCCTACCTCGACAACGCCGACTTCGACCCGCTCATGATTGAATATCTCGAAGGCCGTTGCTGTCAAGAGCTCGAACTCGGATGCCCCAATCCCCAATGTCTGGTCTCGTTGTTTGACCTGGTCCTCGATTTGTCGAAAGAGAGATTCCTGGACGACCCGTTCATCGATGGTAATGCAATCCCATCGGTCGATTAGGTGAGGAGAGGTGAAACGCCCACATCGAACACCATCAGTTGAAAGTAGGTGGGAGAGATAGGAGCTGATCGAGCCTTTGCCGTTTGTCCCCGCAATGTGGATGGCCTTCCATGTGAGCGGGGTCTGTTGGAGAAGACGCGAAATGCGACTTAGCCCTAAGTCGATCATTCCTCCGAGTTATGCTGATATCTAGAAGAGATCAATTATCATGATCTAGCGGTAAAGAGCTCACGGCGTCATGGTCCTCCGCAATGGCGATTGTTCAATCACAAACTCCGCATCGAAAGCGGAGACCTATATCAAAAGATAAAGCCACGTGACACTCCAGCCTTCCGGCAGAAAAACGCAATCTTCCCCCTTCCGATCGGTATCCATCCCTAATCTCCACTACAGACCTGTGTCTCCGTGGTCGCGTCACATCGCATTTTCAAAAGTTTCTTTTTCTTCACCATTTTTTGTCGTTCTTTAGGTTTTCTATTCAAAAAACCTAAATATGGGTATTCCGTAAGTCACTCTCTTCCACCCGCCTCTGGATGCTATCGCATGTGCCACCTCGCCACCTTCGTCGCCGCGTAAATTGACATTATAAAAGGCTGTGGCGCGAGCCGACGGAGTCAGATGCTTTCAAGTCTGCCACGGAGAAGGATTCGTCTGCATCTGCACGGTCTGCGATTCGTCGTGCGGCTACGATTCGACGTGCATCGCGCCACGGCGCTCGCGCGCGTGGTGCCGGCGTCCTATCCTCGTTCCATTCTCAAATCCTCGATGAGATCCAGCGCGGTATGGGCGAACCCCAGACGGGGGTACGCTCTCCTGTTCTGAACCTTGGTGTTAGTGAGGATGGATTAGATCTTGATGCCAGTCGACTCGAAGCTCTAGGCCGAAATGCCGCGCGCCCACTTCCGAGCGCCAGCCTTCCCGCAGACCATTTGGCCCGGTGGAGAAGCGCCCGGGATCGAGCTCTATTGACCAACCTCCTCAGTCGCACTGACACCCAATCTCAAACTGGCGAGCGCCGTGCGAGCCCTTCTTTGACCCCAAACTTTGCTCCTGCCGCTGCGTACCGTACCGCTGTCTCGCCCCGCCCGTCGGATGGACCTCATCTTCCCACTCCCCCTCCTCTCCGACGCACCGACACAAGTAATGAAGATTCGCAATACCATATGCCGCCTATCATCTGGGGGCCGGCGAGAAGGAGACCCAGACCTCAACGAGACCCTACCATGGATGGGCTTGGTGATCGACAGCGAAGCGTGAGCCCAGATGGAGAGCGAGAGAACGCTGCATGGGAAACTCTGCTTTCTACCCTTACTCCAGATACCCATCTTCCCTCCACTAGCACATCATTTTCTTCGACTATTGCTCCTAGCACGGACACCTCGCTCGATAGCACTTCTCGACACTCCGCACCCCAATCCCGAAGACTACCCCCGCTCCCTGTCCACACAGCCCTCGACCCATACCCAGATCAACTTCACCCCTGTGACTTGAGCTCGTCGGACGACGAGGACACCCCCGTCAGTCATCAATCCTCCGGACCCATTCTTTTTGGCGCGTCAGGTCTTCCACTTCCACTCTATCGGGGAGCTGGTCTTCCTTCAACAATGAGCAACCACCCTCCCATCCCTACCATTTCTTTCTCTTTCGACTCCTCTACCGATACCGATCTCCAGCAAATGCAGGCCATTCTGGACCGACTTGCTCGTCGCGAGGATATCCCGGACGACTGGTGGGCGGGTGCTGGTCTATCGCGCAATATGGGCCGCGGCCTCAGTACCGGCACCAATGCTCATGCCGACGCCAACGAAGGTACTGATTAATCAATTGACCCGTTTCTTACATATTGCATGTGACAAGTATCTATTATGATGATGTTTCTGGTGTTTCCTCGGTGTTTTTTCTAGGTGTTTTTTCTTTGGAACGGCTCATCCCTCTGCGAGGCTTCTTTTCTAGGACAGGACTTGTTTATCATGGCGTAAGAAGATGCCTGGCAGCTCCGCTGGGTCACGACGACTCTTGCCATTACCTAAATGATTGTGCTTTGAGCCTGCCGAAGCTGCACAGTTTGCAGCATATTTTGTTCTTTTTGTTCTTTCTTGGCATTGATCCGAGCCATTAACTCGAATACCACTTCATGCATTCGGTTTGATGGTGTTACTCAATCGTGGCTCTATTTCGTCCAATAAACGCGCACGGCCACGAAATGCAGCCCTAGAAGTAAATCGTGCATGATGTCATCAGCACTTTAAAAAGACTAGTGAGATATCAGATCTACATTGCATTCATATTTTGGATCTGGTTCTCTTCGATTTGATATGCCATTCCGAACAAAAATGTCGGATTAATTGCGGTCTACGGTGGACCAAGGATTTGTGACGTAAGTCTGCTAGGCCTCGGAGCACAGCAGTCCCCACCGGCTCAGTCATAGAAAGCCCCGCCAATCCGTTATCGCGGGAATGTGTAGCATTCTCGACGACGACCAAACCCCCTCACACCCCGTACATATTAACGCCTTCCCCTCCTCCACTCGTTTTACAGCACCTCCTCCCACGATCTCTGTTGAATCTAGAGGCATTGCTGCACAGTGTGATTCATCACAAGCATCCACCACGATAGCACGCGACACGAAGCCGTTCGAAGATTGCGCGCCTAGCACGCACAAGCACTCTCCGAGACCTTACCAAACCCAAAGACCATTTATGATATATACACTTGATTTGCAATCCAATTGCATAATGAATGCACAGGTGGAGCACCTAGTCAAGAAGACCTGGGGTAAGTGGACAGTCCGTCAACAAGTAAACCCCTGTTAGCCCCAGACTAGCGCAAGGTCGATCCGATTCGTTACAGAAATAGATCTCGAATCGAATCAAAAGCCCTAAAATCCCACCCTCAATCCGCTAACTAGACTTAGCAAAATTCTGCTCAATGCCCGATGATGCCCGCTTAATGATCGCCGTCAGTGGTATCCCAGGCTCCGGCAAGACAGCCCTTGCCAGCATGATGACCCAACAAATCAACAAGATCTACGCCTCAGAGAACCCCAGCTCAACACCAATCGCTACTGCAGTCCCAATGGACGGCTACCACCTCACCCGAGCCCAGTTATCTGCAATGACAGACCCGGAACACGCATTCGCGCGCCGAGGCGCAGCCTTCACCTTTGACGGAGAGAAATTCTTAGAGCTTGTTCAAGCGCTACGGAAACCGTTGACATTGGCCTCGACGGCCTTGTACGCTCCCAGCTTCGATCATGCAATTAAAGATCCTGTTGATGACGATATTCCCATCCCAGCATCTTGCCGGGTAATTTTCTTTGAAGGGAATTATTTAAGTCTAAATAAGGGGCCGTGGAATTTGGCGGCTGGATTGATGGATGAGTTGTGGTTTGTGGATGTTGATTTTGAAGTTGCGAGAACTAGGCTCGTTAAGAGGCATGTTAAGGCCGGGATTGCGAAGGATGAGGCGGCGGCTGATAAGAGGGTTCGAGAGAATGATTTGGTTAATGGGAAGGAGATTGTGGATTGTAGGTTGCCGATCCAGGAGATGGTTTCGAGTATTTATGATCCTACGTGGGAGAAGTCATAGTCGATAGTGACGTGGAAACTGTGGAGCAGTGTCGACGCGATAGATTAATTGCTGCATAGAGTGATATTAATGTGACTTGACGAATGCTTCGAATTGTCCTTACTACTTTTCAAACTTGCAAGTCATCGATGTCGTTGATCGTTCCATAGAATCTGGCCCATGGCTACATAGTCCGGCTATACCAGTACATTCCGATTCACACGTGGGCGCCACTTCGATATAGGACCTCGAGATAAGCAATGATACGATTGACGTAGCCGACGAAAGACTGACACAGAAGAATTGGCCATCTTCGAACTTAAAATAGACTCGTTTCCCAAGACATTTGCTTATCCCTTCTGGGATCGGAAGGTGAGACATGAATGACACTACTGCGATTCAAAGACAATTTGTAACCATTACAGGGCTATGGAAACAATAAATAAAGGGTAGTGCGAATCAGTATTGCACGAGTACACAGCACACTGTATGAAGACAACGCAATTAATCTGTACGCTGAGAAGAAGCTGACTGGGGCCAAGGGTCCTCGGTCCCTGACGCTAGTCGATTCTAGGTATAGCGGTGCTCAGCCGTGGGGGAGAAGCTGTAAACTTGTATCGTTATTACCGTAATTTGAAGATCTATTTGGTGCCATTATTGAGCAGAAAGTCCTCTTTTTGGGAACTTTTACATTACCATACCAGGGACCGTCACAACTTCCTAGTAAAGCGGGACGAAACTGCAGCAGCACGGGTCACTCAGACCCTGATTATTCCCAATCTCCTTTCCGCTTCGAGATCCGCTTTTACTCTCCTTCGTCACTCTTTGTCTTCGACTCGCACTCATTTTTCCCAGTCGCTCTTTTGCTACCCACAGTCTTTACTACCCTTCGATTCGCTGCGCGATATCTCCATCCAACCAACTCTCGCTTACCGTTCCAATTTGTGACATTATCACCCTGCATCATGCTGTTCAAGTCGACTCTCGTTCTGGCATTTGTGGCCCTCGCCAACATTGTTTCCGCCACCCAGACTCCTGCCTGTGTCATTTCTACTATCGGGTAGGACACCTAATCACATATCTATGGTTGCAGGATACTGACCCTGCGCAGCGATAACACCAAGAACCCCGACGATCTTGCGACCATCTGTAGCTCCAAGACGATCCAATCAAAATTGTCGGACAACTGTGGCTCTAAGGCTGAGTCCGCCCTGACCTTCTTCGCCAATATCTGCAAGAGCAACGGCCACGACGTTGGTGAGGACCCCTAAGAAATCTGATTGGGCGGTGTAATATCTAAGACCCTCGAACTCACGTTGATCTACAGTAATCGCCTCCACTGCGACTGCCTCTGGTACCACCGCTACCGGTACTGGTGCCACTGCCACCGCCTCTGGTTTCACCACTGCTGTCTCGACATCCGGCTCTAAGACTACTGGCACTTCGACCTCTGGCACTGGCTCTTCCTCTGCTTCCGGCAGCGCTTCGGCCTTCCCTTCGCCTTCCACTGCTGGCGCCGCAGGTGGTCAGCACCTCTCTAGCACCGCTTTCGCTGCCGCAGTGTTCTTCGGTGCTGCTGCGCTTCTGTGAGACTTCACAACAGTACCTGCTAAATTGCTTCCGCGGTGTGACCCTTTCCAGTGTATTGCTAGATAATCTGGCTTGCATATACTGTGTTCGATCTGTCCTCATGTACCACATACTTCTCAGAAAAGGGCGATTTCGAACACTTTGAATGTTTTGCTTGCCTATGTGACTTTGTACTTGAGTTTCCACACCGCTTGTCATTCTAGAAAGGCAATTTTGAATGCTTTGGTATTTTAATCTATATATCCCCCTTCATTCGCTATCTGCCTGGAGATGCCTTCCGCTGTAGACTCGAGTGCTGTAAGGGGCTGATACTAAAGGTCGGTGTGTATCTATGCCCACCACTGTCACGGCAACTTGTGGATCAACAATGCGGGGGACCAGTAGGAGTGCACTGTAGCCTAAATGACATCGGAGTTGCCTGAGCCCGGAATGTTGGACTCCGCTCGGTCACTGTAATGCCGATGCCATGCGCGACGACCTTCCGAGCATCGGATGGAGCTCAGACACGTAAACACGTGACCATCACGATCCATAACTCGGGTTTCCCAAATGTACCACTTCTTTCCTATAATGGGTTAGCGTGGTAAATGTGGTACATCGAAATTTACATTCCTAGTCTACAGCTGAACTTTCTATAGGCCCTTGAACGCATTTGAGAGGTGCAAAGAGGTCAATTCGATAAGAAACATTTTGGATAAAGCTCAATATATGGCTAAACCACCACTAAAAGCTGCAAGAGCGAAATCATAGAAGTTAGCAGTCAAACCGTGCTGCTCATGACTAGATCACCTTGGAAATCCCCCTAACTTGGTCATATGTGGTCCAATTGGACTGTGAAAATTCTCTACAGGATCAGCACTACTTTATCCCGGGAATTAAGACTTTTTCTAGCAATTCTAACCAAGTATATGCCAGGTTAACCTCTCGCCATCCCTATCTTTGACCCCGCTGAAACATACGGTGTACGAAGCTTACCAATCCAAACTATTTTCCGCCAAAGCCCCACACAATAATTACTCAGAAGCTGCTGCTAGGAGACGCCATGCGCGAAAAAACGCGTCTGCCCTGGCGACATCAAATATCCTCCCCCTCTGGTCCATCTTTCTTTCTTCCCATCTTCCCCTCTACTCCTAATCCCCTCCAAAAAAAACTCCTCCTTCCCCCTCATCTCTCATCTCTTCCGTTGCTTGCACATCTTCATTAATACCCACTGTGCTTAATTCTTCTTTCTTGCAACCCCCTTTCACTCATCCCGCCAAAATGTTCGTCTACAAGAGAGGTACGTGCAAACACCGAAGAGGAAGCATTTTGCCTCGAGACGCGGGGCAGATCACTTCCATTGCATATGGGAATGACATCCGGTCTTGCCACCGACCTCAAACACAGACGTTAACTGAAATCTCACAGATGGACGCAAGGAACGCGTGCAGTTCGATAAGATCACTGCCCGTGTTTCGAGACTGTGTTACGGCCTCGACCCTGAGCACGTCGATGCTGCTGCCATCACCCAAAAAGTCATCTCTGGTGTCTACCAGGGTGTGAACACCATTGAGCTTGACAATTTGGTATGATCCTACTGCTGTTGCTGCCACTCCAGAAATTTTCTCTTGCTAATGCTTCATCCTTCAGGCTGCCGAGACCGCGGCGTACATGACCGTCACACATCCCGATTATGCCATCCTAGCCGCTCGTATTGCCGTTTCCAACCTCCACAAGCAGACCAAGAAGCAGTTCTCCATGGCCATCTCAGATCTCTACCACTATGTCAACCCCAAGAACAACAAGCCAGCCCCTATGATCTCCAAGGAAATTTACGAGATTGTCATGAAGCATGCCGATGAGCTCAACTCTGCCATTGTCTACGACCGTGACTTTAACTACAACTACTTTGGTTTCAAGACCTTGGAGCGTTCATATCTCCTCCGGGTCGATGGCAAGGTTGCTGAGCGTCCTCAGCACTTGCTGATGCGTGTCTCCGTGGGCATCCACGGCGAGGATATTGAGAAGGCCATTGAGACCTACCACTTGATGTCCCAGAAGTACTTCACCCACGCTTCTCCCACTCTCTTCAATGCCGGTACCCCACAGCCTCAGCTGGCTTCTTGCTTCCTGGTTGATATGAGCAGTGATAGCATTGAGGGTATCTACGACACCTTGAAGACTTGTGCTATGATCTCCAAGACCGCTGGTGGTATCGGTCTGAACGTTCACCGCATCCGTGCTACTGGTTCCTACATTGGTGGTACTAACGGTTCCTCCAATGGTATCGTTCCTATGCTCCGAGTGTTCAACAACACCGCTCGCTACGTCGACCAGGGTGGTAACAAGCGTCCCGGCGCCTTTGCCATCTACCTCGAGCCCTGGCACGCCGATGTCTTTGAGTTCTTGGACCTGCGCAAGAACCACGGTAAAGAGGAGGTTCGTGCCCGTGATCTTTTCTACGCTCTGTGGACTCCCGATTTGTTCATGAAGCGTGTCGAGGCCAACGGTGACTGGACTCTGTTCTGCCCCAACGAGGCCCCTGGCCTTGCTGACGTCTACGGTGACGAGTTCGAGGCTCTGTACGAGAAGTACGAGCGCGAGGGCCGTGGCCGTCGCACCATGAAGGCCCAGAAGCTGTGGTACGCCATCCTTGAGGCTCAGACCGAGACCGGTAACCCCTTCATGCTTTACAAGGATGCTTGCAACAAGAAGAGCAACCAGAAGAACCTGGGTACCATCCGCAGCTCCAACCTATGCACAGAGATCATCGAGTACAGCGCCCCCGATGAGGTGGCTGTCTGCAACTTGGCCTCTCTGGCTCTGCCCACCTTCGTTGATGCGGCTCGTGGCGAGTACGACTTCGGCAAGCTGCATGAGGTCGTCCAGGTCCTGGTTCGCAACTTGAACAAGATCATTGATATTAACTACTACCCCGTTCCCGAGGCCAAGAAGAGCAACTTCCGTCACCGTCCCATCGCCCTTGGCGTTAACGGTCTGGCTGATGCTTTCCTTGCCCTCCGTTTGCCCTTTGACTCCCCTGAGGCCAAGCAGCTGAACATCCAGATCTTTGAGACCATCTACCACGGTGCCCTGACTGCCTCTGCTGAGATTGCCAAGAAGCTTGGCCCCTACGAGACCTACCCCGGCTCTCCTGTCTCACAGGGTATCCTGCAGTACGACATGTGGGACCGTACCCCCACTGATCTCTGGGACTGGGCTTCCCTGAAGGCCACTATCGCCGAGACTGGTGTTCGCAACAGTCTTCTGGTCGCTCCCATGCCCACTGCCAGTACCAGTCAGATCCTGGGTTTCAACGAGTGCTTCGAGCCCTACACCTCGAACATCTACTCTCGCCGTGTCCTGGCTGGTGAGTTCCAGGTTGTCAACCCCTGGCTCCTGAAGGACCTGGTCGACCTTGGCCTGTGGTCCGACAACATGAAGAACCGTATTATTGCCGATGGTGGTTCCGTTCAGAACATCCCTAACATTCCGGCCGACATCAAGGCTCTGTACAAGACCGTGTGGGAGATTTCCCAGCGTAACATTCTGCAGATGGCCGCCGACCGTGGTGCCTTCATCGATCAGTCCCAGTCTCTTAACATCCACATGAAGGAGCCTACTATGGGCAAGATCACCAGCATGCACTTCGCTGGCTGGAAGATGGGTCTCAAGACTGGCATGTACTACCTGCGTACCATGGCCGCCTCCGCTCCCATCCAGTTCACTGTCGACCAGGAGGCTCTGAAGGTTGAGGACACCAACGTTGCGCGTTCCAAGAAGCGTGTTGGTGGCACTGTCTCCTCTTACTCCGCTGTGCCCCGTGCTAGCGGCGCTGAGATCCCCAGTGCTCCCATCCAGGAGAGCCCCCGCACTGTTGTCCCTGAGCCTGTTGCTGCTCCTGCTCCCGTGGAGGCCAGTGCCCCCGCTGCTGAGGCTGCCCCTGCTGAGGAGGCCGTCGAGGGTGAGGCTCCCCAGGGTGACATCTTCTCCGACGCTGTACTCCAGTGCAGCATCGAAAACAAGGAGGCTTGCCTCATGTGCCAGGGCTAAGTTCTCTTTCCATGATATAATGCTCTTGTTTTCTTTGGCTCCCCATGCAACGCCACACCGTGTGTGATTTATGTACCTATATGATGAGATTGATGGTTTTGTTTCTTTTGTCTTCGGAGGTTTCTCTGGCGTTCAAGTTTGTCTTTTTTTCTTATGTACGTTCTTCTTTCAATGACCTATATTCATTACATGCCAGTGTTCCCCGTAGATTCATTCATGCACTACGTACTGTATTCAGTTTCATAAAGGCTCTTACTCCTTCATCTACAAAAAGCGACCGGCTCGGAAACCCTTTGCACCAAGCCGGCAACGGATCCTCATTCCAATTCCGGCGATGACATCGACCCTGAAAATTCAGAAGCACAAAAGAATGGTTCAAGGGTTCTTGCACCCGAACCATAGAACGGATAAACGTGAAACCATGCAAAAGCCCCACAAAAATGACTGGAGTCGGTCCACGGGTTCCTGATGCAACGGTTTTCAAGCGAACTCCAAACACATGAATGTTCCTATTTGCTCGAATTCGCAGTTTTTCATATCTATGCTAGAGTCGGGTACGGAGCGGAGGTATGAGAACCCAAAAAACTTGTCATACTTCCCACATGTCATTGGGTTGAAAGCCTTTTGCAATTCGCAATCGCATCTGAAATTGAAATGACCGGGATCCGTCGCTGCGAGTTCGGCTCTTTCGATCACATCATACCTTGCACCGGTTGAAAATATGGTTTGGAGAAAATGAAGTCGCTGTTGAATGTGAGGTATACCATTGTCTCCTGCAAGTTCCTTGAAAGTCCCGTGAATCAACCGAGCCGAATCAAACTCCCTTGCACAACCAACAATCCAAGCCAAGAAACACAAGCACTCCTCACTTCCAGTCCAGTCTACAGTACATACAACCTTTCAATTTTCTTTCCCGCATCACAAGTGCCGATTCTCAATGACAGACCATGGTCCTCACTCTTATTCTGAGGTGATCGGCACAGTGGAGCAGCAGTGACTGGCCAGAACACCAAAACCAAGCGAAGAAAAAAATAAAATGCAGGGTGGAGGTATGCCACCAGTCACCGTTACCGATGGGGCCGTAATGCGGCAAGAAGGTCAATTATTGGCTGACAGACGGGGACCCCAGTTCGGTCTAGAATTTTATGGAGATCAGAATCGTTTCACATCACCGATCTGGGAACCTGTTTGTATTGCGCATTTACAAGGTGGCTTGTCACTTGTTACTGTAGGGTAGGGCGGGGATGTCGGAGTCACGACTGCAGTTATGTTGGAGATACCATGTTGCATGGTACCAGTACTGATCGGTGGCTCTATTGTAACATTAGTCCGTAGTCCGTAGACACATCAGTTGAACTGTTAGATCGATCTTGTGATTTCAGGGTTTTCGTTTGATTTTTTGGCAAAAAGCCACACTTGTAAGGCCCCACTGGGATATAGGTGATGGCTATGGGAAGCGAGTCCAGCTGGAATAGAAGGGAAGCCGCACGGGAGTACAGGTCCCTCATGTTGTGTAGGGTATGCTTAGGGCCTCATTCGTGGCCCAGTGGGCCAGTCAGATCCTTCAGCTGCGTGTACTCCGTCAATATCGCCGTGTCTCTTCGCGTCCAATTGGATCATGGCGCAGGGACCCGCTAGGCATACAACCAATGCAACCAAGACAAGGCGTAAGGTGAATGACGCTGGGCCTTTTTGTGTCTCGTCTTTTTGTACATACTTTGTACAAAGTACTCTTTCTTAAAGATAAAGGAAATAGCCCGAGCCAAGAATCGAATCCCCATCTTTCAGAGTCAGGAACCAAGTGGGGGAATTTGTGATTGGCGTTGGGCTGGATCGGCTCATTCAGCCGCCCGGACCCATAAGTGGTTTAGTCAGGAGAGAAGATGGTGGCACACATCATACCCCTGTTGGCGCAACTCAATGCCAATCAGGTACCAGGTCCGTGAACTCCGTAGCATCCGGTACCTGTGAGAAGTAAACTCCGTTGAGTGAATTTTGGGGGTGGATTGGATCCGAAAATCCAGGGGAATTGTGGCTTGAGTTCGATCCATGGGAAAGTTGGGAAAGTGGGTCGAGGGTTTTGATTTCCGCTGATGACTGTACTGTATAACGAGGGTTTTATTAAAAGCCTTTTTTCCTTCCTTCCTCTTTCTCTTTCTTCAATCCGCCATTCCTTTGCGATTCGTTCCTCACTCTCGTTCTTTTGAGTGATTTAACTGCTGTGCAGTCTCCAGTCCTTTTATACCTTCTTTCAAGAATCTTCATTCCTTCCAAATCCGCCGAAATGGCCCCGATCTCTAAGACTCTCGCCCTCGCTGGCGCTCTCTTTGCCATGGCTGGTGTCGCCCGTCCTGTGGAAAAGCGTGCTGTTGTGTGGGAAACTGTCACCGATATTGTCTGGACTACTGTCGATGTCACCACCACTGTCTACCCCCAGGAGTTTGTCGCTACTGCGACTGTGGTTCCCGTTACCACCTCCGCTGCTGCTGAGACTACTCCCACCGAGAAGTCCAAGCCTGAGGAGTACCACCAGGCCGAGACCACCTCGACCAGCACTAGCTCTACTTCTACTCCGGCTCCCGCTCCTGAGACTACCGAGCAGCCCACCACTGTCGCTGCCGTCGTCGAGCCCACTACTTCTGCCGCTCCCGTTATTGAGCCCACTACCTCTGCCGCTCCTGTCGTTGAGCGTACTTCAACCTCCTCTACTGCTGCTGTCGCTACCTCCGCCTCCACTAGCTCCTCCAACTACGGCGGCTCCTGCTCCGAGGGCTCCCCTTGCACCGGACAGATGACTTATTACGACACTGCCACCTCTGCTAGCAACCCCAGCGCCTGTGATACCACCAACGACGGCCTCACCGAGCTGGTCCTCGCCCTGCCTGTCGGTATCATGACTGACTCCGACTGTGGCAAGACCGTCACCATCAGCTATGGCGGTGTGACCAAGACCGGTACCGTTGTCGACAAGTGCATGGGCTGCGACGACACTTCCGTCGATCTGTCGCGCGCTTTCTTCGAGGTCTTTGACTCCCTGTCCGCTGGTCGCCTCACCGACGCCACCTGGTACATCAACTAAAACAAAAACAAATACGAACCGCGTAGATCGCGGAGCGTAGGAAATGGCAAATCTCTGGTAGATTTCAATGTCACATTGTTACCCCGGTCTCGATGATCATTTTTACCCATTTCTTTCCCATCTGCCGTTTCACACTGACAGCCAACTTTCCTTCGATCTGTCCGTGGTGAAATAACAGGCTGGGCCCTTTTTTTCCCTTTCCATCACTCCCTTGTGGAATTTCATTTTGAGATGCGCCCCTAGCGGGCTGCTTTCAATCTTTTTCTTCATTTCATGTTGATAGACTTTTTCTTCTTCCGAGCCTGCGTGACAATACTACCAGTGATCTGCCCACTTTCCATAACAAAAACGAAACGAAACGAACCAACCCCTATCTCCCCCGAGCGCATTCTAGCAATGCCATTCATGATGCTTTGTTCATTGTTTTAGCAGTGGATCCGGCATCGTGATGTGTGGGAGTGTCATGATTTCTACGATGATCATGTTGGAATGAGCAAAGAACGGTCACAAATACCTTTCACAGTCTATGAAATTGGTTTCGGAATTTCTATAGTTTACGTGTGAATCAAGTTTCTTGTTATTTTGACATTTTGTTCATTTCGTAGTTTGGGTAGTTCATGCCCATACTCCAGTGAGACATGTCTAACTGTCGCGCCTCTTCGTATGTATCTACTGTAGTGTTGGGTCCTTGTTGGAGCTGTCAGAAAGGGATGACACAAGTCTCACAAATGTATTACCAGTCATGTCGTATCCCCAACGCTCGGGCTTCCTATTTGTTGGTGCCTGTTACATAGCCTCGAGATGATCCCCCTGAAGATCTGTACCTAATCCAAGCCACAACCTTTGCTCAGCCATCTTGAAAGTCAATTCGAATACCGTTGTATATTCAGGGATGTTATGGACAAGGTTTGGATCTATCATGTAGATCTCAACAAATTGATCAATATGATCGGCTGTAACGTCCACTGCAAAGTCTCGAGGATAGCCAACTGCTGCGCTGCTGCACTGCAACCCCCACAGGTACTTGAAAGCTTCGTAACCGGATTAGCTACCTAAGACCAAGTATTTGATTGGGTTACATTTTCTGTTGCTACATATAGTATACGCCCACATACTATTTAGCACATCGTTTATCCCTAAAAATATACGAAGCGCACTCTGTTTAGAATGTAGGAAAGTAGAACCAATCGAAACAGCCCCTTTCCATTCAGACTTACAGAAGCTAGCCTGACTGAAATCCGATATAGGTAGAGAAATATTGTATAATCTAAAAGTGGACAGAAAGGGCTGACTGAAGAGAGACAGGAAGGATCTGAGGAGGAAAGCATTCCAGTGATCGACCGACGTGGATATCAGAATGTACCTAAAGCTGATTACCTAGGCACTTACCAACGAACTTTCGAGATTCAAGGTCGAACATGTAACTATTAGGTCATTTATCATGACACCTCATCAAGTAGCTGTTGGCTGACAATTGAGGTTTTCCACTGGCTCCGGGGATATCAAGCTTGGAAAACAACCGCCAAGTTGAACTTTCGGGTGTCACACAACTCCTCGGGTTTATGGCTTCTTCCCACCTTGATACAGGTTTCTCCTGTTATCATCGAAAATCATAGGTCTTTACTTACGAATCTATCTGATGGTAAATGTTGAAGGCTACCCGAACCACCTGCTAGCGCGACAGTGGCAAGGAATTCATGGAGAAATTTTTGTTAATGTCTTCGTGATTGCTAGAGGAATTAGAGGGGGAAAAAAAAGTCCAGGTGAGTCAGACTGTATATGATTCATTAGTACACTTATTATAGCAAGGAATGTGATAGGTGATGAGAAGACTGCTCTTTATGATAGAAAGGCAACACTGCATATACATGGGTCACAAGAGAACCAATTGAGCAAAGTAAAGACTGCCTGAGCATCATTCACTAGATAGGTACAGGTGTTTGTAGGGAGTCTACATGAATCTTTGCTCCACATAATCCGGTTAATAGTCCACATAACTTTTATCGTAATAATGTTGACGGTAACATTGCCGCTTCGGGTTGAGATATCGGCTCCCGGATCACGGGTGAGTTAGTCACCCCGCCACCCTGAGCGACCCTGAGCTGCTCACTGAGCATCCTGATCGCTCACCTTATTGCTCTTTCCCCTGATCAGCCCCTTCACTTCGCGTCTTGCTTTATGGCTTTCGCGTGCTCCGATGGTAACCGCGCTGCATAAACAGAATGAGCAACATCAACCAAAAAGCATTGTTTGTTAATTATGCGAGTTGGCGCGGATCAGTTCTTCCTCATTCCGAAGCATACGCGTCAGTACGCTTTGTCAATCTTGCCTAAAACAGTTATGCTGTTCAGAACCGCGAGCTTTGCGATTTCAAACCGCGAAGCCTGTCCTTTTAAATCGCCCGATAGCTGATCCACGAGCTCTATTTTCAAGAATGGTCCTACAGTAGATTTCAAAATCAGTTTTACCTCCACACCTCTTATAACTTGATTCCCAGAAAATAACTTCAGGCCCCCAACCGCATTCGTAATCAGGCCCCCAATCGACCCGCTCTGAGAATCATGCGACCGATTGTAGCTACTACTTATGTGGAAGACCCCTCTTCCTAAGCTCACGCCAGCTTCACCTTTCAAGCCCCAATGTACGCCCTCCAACGGTTACTCTACGGATTCCCCGAACCGGCTCCGCACAAACGCAGCAAGCCCGTCGAGGTGCTTTGCTTGGGCTTACCCCGCACCGGAACCGAGTCATTAAGCGTGGCCTTGCGAACTCTGGGCCTGCCAACATATCATGGCTGGGACTTGGTCTTCGAGCCAGATGGCAGCAAGCTGCAACACTGTACTGAGCTAGTGCGGCGGAAATACAACGGTGCTCGCGATGGCGACGTGCAGATTACCAGCGCGGAGTTCGACATTCTCCTTGGTGATAACCAGGCTGTGGTTGACTCCTTGTCCATTTTATTTGCTCCCGAGCTGCTCGCCGCCTACCCAGACGCCAAAGTGATCCTCAACGTGCGTCCCGATATAAACGCCTGGTACCGCAGCATCGACAAAACCATCGTCCAAGGGGTCGATCAATCATGGACTATATGGGGGATGCAGTGGTTCTCCGCGGAGTTTCATTGGCTGTACACTCTTTACTTAAGATATGGATATCCAGGCGTGTTTCATAGCGTCACCACCACAGATGGTATCCAGCGAAACGCCAAGTGGGTCTATCGCGACCACTGCAACATGGTTCGGGGTATGGTGCCTAAGGATAAGTTGCTTGAGTGGTCCGTCGAGGATGGCTGGGAGCCGCTTTGCAAGGTATGATTTGGAAGAATCTGGATTTTTCTCAAAACTATGGCTGATGACAGAGATAGTTTCTCGACAAGCCTGTTCCCGACGAGCCCTTCCCCCGAACTAATACTCCAGGCAGTTACGCCGAGCGCGCAGATGAACTCATCAAAAGGCGCTTCGTTCAATGTCTGCGCAACTTGACTCTCACCGTCGTGACTCTAGGCGGGATTACCACTGCCGTTGTGATGTGGTGGCAGGGACGGATCCCAGAGGCTACGAGGCTGAGCGAGCTCCTCGGGCGATTCATTAAAATGACCTAGAATCAATATATGGAATGGAATTTCAATTGGAGAGTTGAAAGATGTCGATTTGACCCACACTTTCCAGACCACTCCAGACAAGTAATTTCACCTCAAGTTGGGGCACTAGATAGTCTCGGCTGCACATGTATCCACCATGGCATGCAAGGATATGTGATCTCTACGAGGAATATCTCAAAAATGGCACGGTGATGAGCATAGAATATGCTTCCGGCTTGAAATCATTAATAAGAGCCATCACAACAACGTCTCGGGCAATCCAGTTGAATACAAACTCGTTCCTCACCCGTCGCAGATGCTTCTCACCGGAGAGAACTTAGTGACTCGCCAACGCGCACGATTCGCCGAACACCATATCTGGGTAACCCGGTATCGGGATGGAGATCTATGGGCTGGTGGACGGTGGACGGAGCAGAGCGTGAAGGAGACTGACGGGGTGTTCGACTATGCGGCGCGGAACGAGGATGTGAAGAACGAGGATATTGTCATTTGGCATAAAATTGGGATGACCCATACCGCGACTCCAGAGCAATTCCCTGTCATGGGGGTCGAATCTCTCTCGGTTTTCCTGAAGCCGGCTGATTTCTTCGAGTTTAACCCTGAATTTGACGTTCCGCAGAGTACGCAGGCTATCAATAATAGTGTCCAAATTGGAGTGAAGCTAGGCCAGTGCTGTTAGTGCCTTCTTACTAGGCTATATAATATAAGTAGTATATTCAAGTGCCCGTGATGTTGTGATGACTACGATTTTGGTAAAAAGGGAGCTTAACCCGGCGTCCAGTGCAGCCATTTTCGGCAGCCGATTTACCGTTAATTAGCGTTGTGCTGTATAATAATTTGCTACAAGTTTTATCAATCAGTTCGTATCGCTAGAGCAGGTAGCTATCTCTAAGATCTATCACTAACTTGTGGCACTCGATAAAGTATATTTTAAGTTTTTTGTAGAAATTGCTTTTCTGAAGCTACATAGCTATATATCCTACAGACCTATGGTGCGGAGTATTTGCAGAATCGTATCGCAGCTTTTGACGAATTGTGAAACAAGCAGGCAACCATGCTGTCCCTGACTCTCAGCAGAGAGCCGAGTCTTGGGTGCTGTATGTTTCTCCAGCTTCATAGAATTCACTGACCATTCCAGGATGCACCTTGAACCACCCACCCCTCCTGCACCGTTCTGCAGCTCGTAACATCGAATGAGAGCTCACCTGACCACCGCCACGGCGTTTGCAATATGATCCGCCATTGAAGTTCGACACGGGTTTGCAGCTTGGCTATGTGACCCTGAACCTGATCTAAAGTCCTCATGGTCAAGATAGTGATGGATCGAGGTTTATGTTCTGGTGGGATAACTGCATCTGCATGTTCCTTCGTGTACATGTCGTTTGTTGTAGACGTTTAGGGCAACGGTCCCTCAAACGCGCCTTAGGCGCTTCTAGGCCGCCTGCTCAATTAAGAATACCGCCGTAATTTGTTGATTGTTGCTTGAGGATGACGATTGCCCAAGTGGTGGTACACACCATTTAGGCCCCATCATCCTGATACGAGGGAGGACGACGAGAAGTTGTTTATTCAGCACTGTTAGCAAGGACGCGGCTACCCTGGAATTGAGCAAAATACTCTCCAGGTTGGACCTAGTAAGCTAGCATTGGTTACAACAACCAGGCGGTCGCCTTGATGGAGCTCTAGGTAGAGGCAAGCGTTCATGGGGGCCGCCGTATTACAAGCGAAGTGGTCAAATTGTTCCCAACGTGCCGATTTCTTCGTCTAGAGCTTAATGAAGGAGGGAACAGTAAGCTAGCGTTAATCTAGTGTTGATCTAAATGAGGTTGAAAGATATGAGGTTAGAATATGAAAATATTGATTTGGACTGGCTAATGTACAGCAAACAAATGTTCAAACAATTCTCCATGTCATTGTGTGTTTGTCAAAAACAACCACCGTTGGCAATTGCCATTTCCGTTCGTATCGCACTTGGACTTGCGTTAGTAGCTGATACATAGTTTGAGACTTGGGCCAGTCAGGCACCATTTTTGGCCACACTACTCCGTACTTGAATTCACTGAGCTTTCGCCACCGAGTCCCATTATTGGGTGAGTCATGTTTTAGAGCAATATGGCCATTCGGTGTATTCTAGCGAGAGTCTTGCGGGACTACCTCTCGTCACATACTAATCACAGGTATCCACCCCACGATCGGGGCCAGAAGTTTCCCTGGGAAGAAAGTCCCGAACGCGATACAGGTAGCATTTGCCGACCCAGAGAAGCGGTGTATCTGCCGCAGTTCGACGATCACCCCATACTTGAGGCAATGTTCTATCACCACTATATAGACTATCCGAACAATGTTGCAGTCTATGAATAAGGACTTTCACATGGTTAATATCAGGGACTATCGAATCTGCAGAGTCACAGTGATCAATCTGATCAATACCTTTTTCTACATCTCCTGGGACTTCGCTTGGGCCGCGGGCCCCACAGTTAGACGCTGGGACCAACGCACGAGAAACAATCCTGCCTATTCGGTATTCTCTCACGTCATTGATGGAGAAGAAGGAAAAAGCCACAATGCTACGTGAAGGCAGATCAAGAAACCTAGACCTGGCCTTGGGTAAGGTAAATTTCCCGAGGTGGTGACCGGATCGCATACGCGCGCGATCCCCGAGATACAGTACCGTGTACTGGGACCAAGCTACGGAGTCCGAAGGATTAGCTTTGTATGAGACTAGTTTGGGGCGTTTTTCGATCGGATACTACTTGACACCAAGGGACTCGTCAGCTCAATCCTTTCTACGGAGCACACTAGAGACATTATGTCACTGGGTTCACTGGGGCCAAGTTCAAGGGTTTCCAGCCCTCGATGGGAATGCCCACATGGAGGCTTAGAGAAAGGGGAGACCCACCGAACTCGAAAGCCAAGATTCAAGCCACTCGTATCTTGGGGTTCAGATTGACAGAGAGATGTGGCGTTCGATTGATTAAATCTCCCGTGGTAATGAAAGAAGTAATATTAGCAGAATGAATAGGGAGCATCTCCTTAATTTAGTTTCATTATTCGGGAAAAATGTAACCTGAAAACTCGAGAAAAGATGATACACTGAAAGGAAAGTAAAAATCACACGGAACCACCGAGGGCGCAGTATTATTGGTGGTGGACATAGCTGAAGGCTTGAGAAAAGATCAGCTTCCTTCACCAATCATCATCCGTAACAACGGCGTGCCGATGCAAGGCCATGTCTCCGCCTTAATGATCCCTCACCTGAAACTAGCGATGGCTCCGTCCATCGTTACCTTTCACAGGCCACCCCGTTCGAGAGAATGGGGCCTTTAGGCTGTTTCACCTCCTGCGCCGCAAGGTTCCCGTCGCTCCGTGATTGGCCCATTGTGGGGTCCTCTCCATTCACGTTGGTACCTTGCGGTGGACCTCTGAGTTTGTTCTCCACTGCCCAGGGTACATATACTGTATCCTCGCTCTCCTCGATGGATTGAGCAAGCAAGTCTTCTTCTCTCTCTCTTTTTTTTGTTGTGCTGGGCACTCCTTTTTCAGCAAACATGTTCATCCTTCCATTCGTATGTGATCTGCATATCTATCTACTTGACATCTTATACTAACGAGCACTCGAATAGCTTTTGGCTGCCGGCAGCCTCCCCCTCATTTCTGGGGCGCCGATAGCATCCTATCTCTACAAGAAGTCTGCAGTTGCAGAGTCCAGTCCTTCCCTCAGCGAACGCAGTTCGAACCTTTATGAAGCAGTTTTTGGTGGTGATGGTTTGGTGTCTGATGGGTGGCCCTCGATCGCCCAGTGGATTACCACCTTTGATGATATGTACGAGTCGAACTTGGAAGTCATGTCCGCGAGCTGTGCTCAATTCGGCGTGGCGGATAACACCGACGACGAGAACGCCAACGTGAAGAAGGCCATCCAAGCAGTTGCTTCCTCCAGCGGTGTCGACGCCCGTTTCATCCTCGCCATCGTGATGCAAGAGTCCAACGGCTGTGTCCGTGTCCAAACCACCGACAACGGCGTCGTCAACCCAGGTCTCATGCAAAGCCACGACGGAACCGGTTCTTGCAACAAGGACGGCACCGTCCAGAACCCCTGCCCATACAGCGAGATCCACCAGATGATCGTCGATGGTGTCGAAGGTACCTCCGAAGGCGACGGTCTCAAGCAGATCCTCGCCCAGCAGGGTGGTTCCAGCGCCACAGACTACTACAAGAGCGCTCGTGTCTACAACTCCGGCTCTCTCGCCTCGGATGGTAACCTCGGCCAGGGCGGCGCCACGGCCTGCTACGTCTCCGACGTCGCTAACCGTCTTCTGGGCTGGTCTTCCGGCACCAGCAGCTGCGACTCCTCTACCATTGGCAGCTTGACTGGTACCTCCTGGACAGGCAGCAGTAGCAGCTCTGGAAGCTCTTCTTCTGCCTCTGCCTCCGCCGTTGCCTCTTCTACCTCGAGCGTCGTGCCTGAGCCCACCGCTGTCTCTACCACCGTCCCCGCTGCCACTGTCACTCCCACCGAGACCCCCGCAGCCGCTACCCCGACTGCCGAGGCAACTACCAGTACTGCAGTGGTCCCAACAGCCGTCGTGGTCCCCACAGCCGCTGCCGCCACTTCCACTGTCCCCAGTGCGACGTCTAGCGCATCCGCATCTGCATCAGGAGTCCCCATTTACCCATACGCATCTTCATCTTGCACGGAGTACCACGCAGTAGTAGAAGGCGATTACTGCGAAAAAGTCGAAAGCCAATACGGCATCACTGCGTCCGACCTCATGAGCTGGAATTCTGGATTGGACGAATCCTGCACGAATCTCTGGAAGGGATACAGATATTGTGTGAAAGCATAAATATCTCCCTTCCACTTTCATTTTCTCATTCTTTCACACCACTTTCATTTTCACTTCTTTAAAACCCCATTTAGCCCATTCTTTTTTTCCTGATCTTGTGGCCGTGCCATTAGATCGAGGATGAACATTCTCTGAAGAAGATGTCTTGTACAACCGTTGGCACTTTCATTTGCATATATGGGTTTTGCTGGTTCTTTCCCATTTGCGAGCCTACACGATTTACGAAAGCTTTTTCTCAACCCTTTTTATCTTTTATCCATGTGATACCATTGTTGTCTTCCAAAGGCAAATACAGAATCCAAAAAAAATCCTTTGATAGTTTCTTTCAAGTCGTAGCCCGAGTAAGCGTATTTGGTAAGAACTGGACATGAAGAGATAAGCCGGCCTATTTGCTCAGGAAGCTTCCAACTTTTTCTTTCTTTGTACTCTTTCCTGAAACATAATTTTCTACATTTCTCATACTTCGTTTTCATGCAGTCATCTCTTCAGCAAATCCAGAAACCCCGCACGGTATCGATATACTCGTGGAGGTGTGGAGTCGGCGCGTAGAGCAACCCCCTCATTCGCATTCCCAACATGCACCGGAACAATGTAGAATGTGACGTAGCAGGGCTGAGACAAGCTTTCGGTTGGGTCGGGATCTTGCATATCGTCTGATTTTGAAGTTTCAGATAGAGAGTACTAAGAAGCGCTTTTGTCTAAGCGCCCGAGGACTGAGGGTGTGCATGATGTGGGAACGAATCTTACTGGCTCGGAGTATATCGAGTCTTGGGATACATCGTCAGCTGCGCAACCACACACGATCCTTGATATCGGAATTCTATTTGCAGGATTTTTGATCATAGAAAAGATAATGATGATAGTTGCTTGTGCTACTATATGGCGGTCACGTGGCTAGGCGTAATGGCAATAGTACCTTCCTTTGTTTACTACTACTCACATCAGGTCTAGTCCGTGACGATGATACGTCTACCGCGTTGATTTACACGGTTACTCTCTGGAAGACCACTTCGTTTGCCTCGACAGGCGCTTCAACCAGCCATTCTTCCCAACCTAAATGATAAGCTAGAAGAGGAAACACTGCAATGGTACACCAAAGACCACTTCTATCCAGTTCAAATCGGCGAAATCTTTCACCCAGGGTATAAAGTACTTGGGAAATTAGGCTACTGAGGGTATAACACCATATGGCTCGGTAGGAATTCAAGGTAAGTTCCCTTTTCATGATTAGCAAATCGGACATGATAGCTGACAGCTATAGAGAAGATGCCTATGTCACATTGAAAATGTGCGAACGGAACTCAGGACCCGGGGAAAGAGAAAAGGGGATCTATGATCATCTTCGAAGCATAAAGTCTAGTCATATAGGCTCAACTCTCGTCCGGCGCGCGCTGGATGACTTTCAACTCAGATCTGCTGATAACGAGCACTCATATCAGTGTCTTGTGCACCCGCCTTTAGGTATGAGTCTTCATGAACTAATGAACAGAGCAAAAGGAAAACATCTTCCTGCGGAGTTAGTGAAGCCGGCTGTGCTTCATGTTCTTTTTGCTCTGGACTTCCTTCATACGGAAACTGGGGTTGTCCATACTGGTATGGTATTCGATTGCTCATGACCAAAGCCTTTTTGAAAATTGAGCTTGCCCTTGACTTCAATAAGATATAAGAGAGAAATACGTTATGCTAGGTGTGGACGATGAACAATCCTGATCGATTTCGAAGAGGCCGAGAAATCCAATCCCAGTCCACGAAAGGTCGTCGAAGATCGGGTAATCTACTGATTTCGAAGACTCGGGATCCCGAAGATACACGGCCATCCTGTGCTAGCTGAATGAGGAGAGGCCCAATTTCTATCGAATCTAGGTGTGAAGTGGGAGGATGTACAACCGTTAGGCTATCGTGCACCGGAGGATTATTACGGATCCCATGGGATGAGAGAATCGACATTTGAAATCTAGCCGCTCTCGTTTGTATTGCTTATTCCGTATACCTACTAATACTAACGAACATTTAGACATGGGCATATTTTCTATGCCCGTCTATATCCTTGAGATAAAAAAATGAAAGTAGTAAATCAACATCGTTGACTCAACATTCCACTCGCAGGGAAGATCCCTTCCGATCTACCCGCGCCATCCATAATCCTACCCGACCGTTCCCCGATCCGAACACCCCAGTGCAACTACACCTACTCATCAAAAGAACATCAATGGCCCCATCAAAAGAGTCCACCTCAGAGGCCCAGGCATCAAAAAGACGTCGTGTAGCCGTCGCCTGCGATGCGTGTCGGACCCGGAAATCCAGATGTGACGGCCTGCGGCCTCGCTGCTCGCTGTGCGCCGACCTGGGCTTTGAATGTATGTATACGCCCCCCGCGACGGCAACGAATGTAATCGTGCAGAAGGAGTACCTACACGGCTTAGAAGATCGCGTTAAGAGACTTGAGGATTGCTTCAGGACTGTGAGAAGTGATGTTGATGGGTTGACCGTTCGTGTTGATCGGGGGCCGGAGGCACGTGAAGGGGTTCGTGGGGAGGTGCGAGATGCAATTCATGTTTCTGATCTTGTTGGGCACGAGGACTCTGTTGATGCGATGGGGGCGATTTCTTTTGCTGATGAGGAGGATTCGGGATTCTTTGGTATGACCCCCTGTAGGTTTTATGTGGCAAGGTGAGAAATACTGATGAGGCCAGGTCCATCTTCTAATATCGCTTTCTTGAGACATTTGTCCAGTGCAGTTGTCCAGAAAGGGTACTCTCTGTCCCCCGGGACTGCGGATGGTGGCTTTATAAGCGTTTCAAAACCGTCAACACTGCGCCAACCTGCACAAGAGAAGGTCAATATTTTCGCACTGCCCTCTCAATCAGAGACACTGGCTTTGATAAACCTCTATTTCTCAGAAACGGGTTTACTTTACCCGTATATCTTTCCCCAGACTTTCTTGGCTACCTACCACCGCATGGCACGGGAGAACTTTACTGGGGTTCGGAAAAGCTGGCTTGGTCTTTTGAATATGATCTTGGCTATGGCTACTATCACTGCTGAGTCGAATGGTGCCAGTGCGGATACGCGTATTGCTGAATCGGATGTTTTCTATCAGCGTGGCCTTGGTCTTTGTGGTAGTGAGCTGTGGCGTGGTACCACTTTGGAACTTGGTAAATCAACACGACCGAATAACTTCAGGTTGATTATTCGTACTGACTCCTCCCCAGTTCAATTTCATCTTCTGACGGGTCAGTACTTGCAAGGTACTCAAAAGTCTGTGCAAGTATGGAACGTCCATGGACTAGCTGTGAAAGGTGCTTTACAGCTTGGACTTCACTCTCAACACGCATCTCGAACATTCGATCCCTTAGAACAGGAGTCTCGAAAGCGAACTTGGTACTGTTGTGTTATGCTGGATAGGTGAGAAGAATACTACTGCAGTATGACACGCGCTAATTTTATAGAACTCTGAGCATGACTTTTGGCCGACCGGCCGCCATTCCAGATAGCTATGTTAAGCTCGATCTTCCTTCGGTGCACCAATTTGAGTCATCTTCAGCCGTCGTGGATACCGAGACATCCAGTCTCAGCGTCTCTTTCTTCAACTCGACCATGTAAGTTACACGCTGAACGAATATTAATTTTATTTACTAAAAAATTCACCAAGTACCTTATACAAAAATCTCTGGAAAGTCCTCGACTCTCTATATGGCCAAAACATCGGCTGCGAAGACCCGCTATCCGTCAGCGAAACAGTGTCCCACGTCTTCGCTATAGAACAAAATCTCTTTTCCTGGGAGAGATCACTCCCCATTTCATTACAACTAATTACAAAAGCCAACTTGGACGAAATGTCTCAAGAAAATGTATCCGGCAATCAGTCTTTCTCCTGGAAATTCCGTGTGATCTTGACATTACGTTATCTTAATCTACGAGTCCTGCTCCACAGACCCGTTCTCGTCAAATTCATTAATGCAAGCCGAGCCCCCGATCGTGATCTTGAAGATTTGAAACTTTTACAGCGAATCGGAATGAACAGCATGGCTATATGCACGATGTCTGCTATGGAGATCATCAATATCATCTTCCGGATTGTCTCCGATCCGAAATGGAAACAAAGCTTGTTGGGTGCATATTGGTACTCGCTTTACTACAGTAAGTCTCTTCATGTTCCTATTCCCATCCACTGAATGCTACTTTACTAACAAAATTGCAGCTTTCAATGCCGCATTAGTGATCCTCGGCGCTATCTGGGTATACCGGGATACAAACGTAACTGGTTCATCAATGCTCAACGAAGCAAGAGAATTAAAAGAGTACCCCAGTCGCGCAATCACAGCTCTTTCAAAACTCGATAAAGGAAATCGGTTGATCGATCGATGTCGAAGTTTCTTGGAACATTTTAATAACGTCTTAGCTGATCCTGGTAAGTTTGATCTACACGCGCTCGCACTATTCTCGAAGGACTCATCGTTGATATGAATGCAGATACCGAAGGCCCGGCTCCTTCTCTCCCGTCTCTGGCTATCAACCGTGACGAACTACAAGCTGCAGACTTTGATTTCTCACCTTTTGGGATGGAACTAGGCGAGTTCATGATGGATGATGATTTTGTTGCGATGATTGAAAGACAAGGGTTGTCGGGATCAGGGTTTGACTGATATCTTTGATTTATGTATACTGGTCCATCTGTATCACTACCAACCTCATGCTAGCTCAAAAGTATAACTAAGCTTAATCTCAGGAGAACCACCAAGCTGTTATAGGCACATCAGCGCTTCTCCATATCCCTAACAGCTCTAGCACGCCGAGCAATCTTCGCCAACAAAGGCGCCATTCCCGCATGATTACACTCAGGCAGGACTCTCTCCCGAACACCCTCCTGGCTATCCCGCTTCTCGAAACTAAATCCCACTTTCTGCACATAGCAGTTATATTGCGCGTCAGCTCCCCTCAAAGCGCAAATTTCACCACTAATACAATCTCCAGTACAATTCGGAACTTGATACCCCCTCGACCGTCTAGCCCAGAAATCACCAAAGATCTGAGGGTCATTTTCCATAGCCACGGAGACGTTATGCCAGAATGCCGGTGAGAGTTCTGTACCTGGATCGGTTACAGGTGACGCAAGCTTGGATCCATAAGCCTCTTTTGCGGAGTAATACGGTACCCATTCGAGAGAAGTCTGCTCGGGGTCGCTGATATCAGCAATATACTGTGTATAATCAAGTACGCCGAATGTAACGGGATCGATATTGTAGACGCGGAAAGAAGGCGGGCCGGAGGTTGGTGTCATTGACGGAGCGATATAGCCCATAGCTGTAGCCGTATCCCATCTTCGGTTGTTATAGTCCGAGTATGAAATCTGGAACTCGTCTAGATGTGTATGACCGAAGAATAAGGCGGCAATGGTCGCGTCATACCGTTGAACGATCTGATCAATGTAGTGCGAATGATCGTGGAAGTGGTCCGAGTTACCAGATGGGATATGGGAGATGAGCCAGACGCGCTCGGAGGCTTTCTCTGCAGCTTGGAGCTCATCGATGAGCCATTTTAGCTGGTTGTTAGGATCGTGTTCCATTGGTTCGGTGTAGGCGAAGAAATTATATTTGTAGTAAAAGATGCTGTTGTATGAGATTATTCGTAGGTTGCTGTTTGGGTGGAGGGCTGAATATGATCCGTACTCGTCTGCAGACTCGATGGATGGTAGGCCTGTGAGGGCCATCCAATTTGCCGTTAGGGCGTCGTAGGCCCATTGCGGATTGTAAGTGCTGGGGACTTTAGATGATGGGAAGAGATTGAGTGGGGCTGCATCATGGTTTCCCAGCGCGGCGTAGACTTGACCGAGACTGTTTTCCATTGCGCCGTAGGTGGAATTGAAGTTCTGGAGAACCTCGGACTTATCTACCAACCAGACGTCGTGGGCTACTACATCTCCTGTATAGATTGAGAAGGCAGGGGTTAGATTCGCGATTGCGGCGTTCATGCTTTCTTGAAGCCGGTGTGGAGGATCGCAGCGAGAATTTCCCCAAGGCCCACAGGGAGAAGAGGTGTTGCCTGGCGCATCATCTTCATTGTAGGTTCTGCAGCATATAGGCTTGGAACAGGCGTAGTTGGAGCCAGTTTCGTAGGCAAGGTCAACATGCGTATCGCTGAAATGCACTACTTTGATTGGGGGTTTCCCACTTGGTGGAGGTCGACTGATTGACGGTTTGGGAGCAGGAAATGCCAAATCGTACTCCCGAACTTTTGGATAGCTGCATAAGCCCACTAGGCTGGCACAGAATGTGTTGGCAGTATGAGAGCCTATTTCGAGATTCATCAGGGAGTAATGAACCGAAGGTCCTTCGCTAGCAATAACTCCAGCGCAGACGTCAGGGTCCTCGGCCTGCTCATGTCAGTCTTCTTTCTCAAGTCAGAAGTTCGAAGGAGTCACTTACACCGCTTAGAGCACACACTCCGGTCAAGACATCTACCATAAAGTCGTCACCAAAGCCCGCCACGAGTTTGAGCCCACCCAGGAGAAGCTATATCAAATATGGGTTTTAGCCGGTGGTACGATGAGCATTTGTGAGCCATAACAACCACTCACCTGGCAGCTGGTACAGTCGACCGCTTCTTTGAAGCGATCCCAGATGTCAGTGATCCAGCTCTCCGCAGATTCGGTGTGGGCATTGGCGAATGGTATCCAAAAGGCAAGCAAGGTCACCAGAACAGCCTGTCTTCTCATGAAGAGTAACATCTTGAGACTTTCCACTAGGAATGTGTGAAAAGCACCGATGCAAGGAAGCAAGATTGTTCATGACTTGAGATGGGATGTGAGCGAAATGTGTCTTATAATCTGATTCTGAGTACCGAGAGCACATGCTCGTGAACGCGTCCGGGCAGACCGGTTCGCTTAGGGTCGGTGTTCCTGCAGTTGGTGAGCAGATCATGATAATTTTTAAATTTTTGCATGCAATCGTTTGCTGTTCAGTATATGCTACCTGTCATACTATTAGTGTCCAGATTAGCCGCCATACAGTTCTACATCGAGGAAATTCTGGTCATAGATGCGGAAAGAGAAGACATGATTTCACGGATTCACGGGCTGAACGGGATTTATTCAAGACCGACCGAGAGGGGTCTTTCGCAAATGCATACTAAAAGGAGGAAGCCAAGCAAATAGTCTGCAACGCTGCACGTTGAAGTGATTGCGTTAGTCTAAGTTGCAGTTTATGGTACTTATGGTGACTTGGCTTTTTTGGAAGTTGCCCAGACACAGATTTACACAATCAGGCCATCAGCGCCATGAATTAGAGATTTACTGCGCTTGCTCTTGTTGAGTTAGCGTGCGATAGCCACCTTATCGCCTGCCCTGTTTGGGCCGACATGCCAAGCTCATCGGACCTGCAAGCGACCGAGATGTGGAGATCTAGCTTGATGATTGGCTCGTTGGCTCGAATAATTAGCCGACATGGTGTTGATCTTGAAGGTCAAGTTCCACTTGCAATGCCATTGTATATCAGTATCGATCAGATTGACATATGTATACGCAGCTTTGGCTTTCCGCTTGGTGTGCGGGATCGTCTAGTCTCCGGAGAAATGAAATGCCGTGCGGGATGAGGGAGATCCGGGGTAAATTGGTCTTCTGTTTGGAACGAACCAAGTCGGACAAATGGAACTGAGACGTTACTCATCTCGATAGGGTTTCGATGTTAAATCCCCTGTGGCTCACCATGGCTCTTGGTGGCTCTCAGGGGCGTCGTTTGAGACGGGAAATTCCCTCAACTTTCCGTGGTGGCGTCGCCTCCCGGGGAAGAATTGATTAACCGGATCCAATAAGCGCGGTGAGGGATGTGGGATGGATTTGAGTCATTTTCGACCCAACACACCCGGTGTTAAACCCTAAGATTGTCGCGTAGAGAATTGACGGTGAACGGTGAACGGTGAACGGTGAGCGTCCGATGGTTGAGTTTTGGTGCACAACGGTTTCTCCCCAAGTCCCGGATTTGCGGGAACCAATGACGCGGATCCATTCCTCAACCTCCACATTTTCTCCTCCTCTTTTCTCCCCCCTCACACCCTAGATCTTGAAAAGTGGGACTCTCGGAGTTCTTGCTATTTTGATGCTCTCGTGATAATTTTCCACCCAACCACTTTCCACCCCTCCAACCTTCCCTGTCGAAATTCCTTCTACCCCGGATTTGGTAGGATATGCGGTCTCCAGTTGATCCCGATGCTCGCAAACCCATTTACACCCACAATGATGCACTAGCTTGTGGATCTCCCTAGTCATCCCGTTTTCGAGCATCGTGATTGTACCACCCCGGTGGCAGCTACACGGTCAATATGGCAGGTCGCCAACCGGTCACGCTCGGCGTCTCGATCACGTTCTTCGCCATCGCCACGGTATTTGTGGCCTTGCGCTTCATATCGCGTGTTTTTGTAGTTAGGAGGGTCGCGCTACACGACTACTTGATGTTGCTTGCGTGGGTAGGTCGGCTCCAGGTCACTGCAGGCTTCCAAGAGCCTGCAGTACCCTTACACCCCGTTGCGACATACCGGCATACTCTGTCACGTGGTCTAAGGATAGTTGGCTAAGACAGACTCCAGGTGATTGACTTCGGCTTTTCGCTCTCATTATTCTTCGCGATCCACAATGGACTCGGTCTACATGCGGTCGATGTTCCCCCCGAAAATGAGGCGGCTCTTAATAGGGCTAACTATGCATTCACCGTCCTCTATGTGAGCTTTAGAAATGTCCAGCATCAAGTACAGCGTACTAATATCCATTCGCGAATAGAGCCCGGCGCTGATGGCCGTTAAGACGTCGATACTCGTTTTCTACATGACCTTGACACGAAACCAAAAAGTGTTCCGCAATGCGAACTATGTCACTCTTGCTGTAGTCAATGCAGCTGGCCTCGCGTTGACTCTGGTCAATATTTTCCAGTGTCAACCAGTATCCGCCGCGTGGCTCGCCAACCAACCGTCCGACGCGCACTGTACCGATATCGTCACACTCTATTTGTCCTCGTCTCCCGTAAATATCATCACAGACCTGGCGATTCTGTTTCTTCCAATGCCGATTCTGACTCAGATGCGCCTGCCAAAGAAACAAAAGATTATTTTGGTCATTACATTCAGTTTTGGATTCTTTGTGGCCGTCGTCGATGTCATTCGAATTGCTTTTCTCCAGCAAGCCGCTACATCGCGCCAAGTCGCATTGAAGTCCCTTCATATTCAGAATGTTGGGACTGCGGACTTTAGCTGTAAGGCTATCAATTACAAGACTGGTCAATTCGATGCTAATTACTCTTAGGGTATGCGTCGCTTTCTTTCATGTGGTCAGTCGTCGAGGTCAACGTCTCTGTGATTTGTGGATGCGTTCCGAGTTTAAAGCCTCTTGTCGCTCGGATTTTACCCAAATTAATTAAAGGCACCAACGACGTGTCGGATCCGACCCCGCGCCTCTACGCAACCGGGGAGGCCCCTGTCGCTATACCTCCGCCCGTGGCGACTCCGGAATCTGACTTGACCCAATCTCCAGCAGACAGTAAAGGGAGCAAACCCTCTCCAGCAAGGCACGGCAGCGTCTCTACTCGCCGCCGAAGCTCAAACACCCCTATAACTATGCTCGACTTCCTGGGCCATCCTCCAACCGGTCCCCAAGACACAGAGTCTCATACCCAAACCAACTCATCCTATCCTCATATCACTTTCTTTGATTTTGTCAACATGAAATCCCCGGAGAGCATGCTGAAGCTGAACAACCGAGAGTCCATAGCTCCGATCGCAATCACCACCTTACTGTTCTTCCTCTGGGGCTTCGCATATGGCTTCCTTGACATACTGAATACCCAATTTGCATTGATTGTGGAATTGGATACTTGGCACTCCTTGGGACTACACGGCGCATATTTCGGAGGCTATGTGGTGGGTCCACTGTTAGTCGGCCGCCCGGTCTTAAAGATTTGGGGATTCAAATCTACATTCATCACTGGGCTGTGTATTTATGCCTGTGGATCACTCATATTCTGGCCTTCTGCAGTCCTCACATCCACCGCCGCATTTACGGTCTCGAACTTTGTTGTTGGTTTTGGCCTCGCGGTTTTGGAAACAGCTGCCAATCCGTTCATTGCGCTATGTGGGCCTTTGGAGAACTCAGAGATTCGTTTGAACATATCACAAGGTGTGCAAGCCGTTGGTAGTGTCTTATCTCCTCTTTTGGCAAAAAGGGTTCTTTTCAGGAGTGTTCAGTCTGTTGAGTCACTGGTTAATGTCCAATGGACTTATCTTGGCATTGCACTCTTCGATGTGCTTCTCGCCGTGGCTTTTTACTATCTGCCAATTCCAGAAGCCTCAGATGAGGATTTGGAAGAATTGGCAGATCGACGCCGAGATGATAATAGGGCAAAGGTCATTGGTATTCCGGTCGTCTGGCTCACCCTTGGTCTAGGAGTCTGGTCGCAATTCTTCTACGTGGCTGGCCAAGAAGTCCTTGCCACCAGCCTCGAGCGCTTCGTCCTTGCTGCGAAACCCAACTCTTCCCTGGCGCCTTTTGACTTTCTGACCATTGGCCAAAGCATATTTGCTATAGGTCGTTTCCTCGCCGCATTTGCGCAATGGTTTTTGAAACCTCGCTGGATTCTCATGTTAGCCTTTGTTGGCATGATTGTCTTCTCGGTACTGTCCATGAATACCACCGGCTCTACGGCCGTTGTCATGATTATGATGGTTTATCTCTTTGAGAGTGGTGTCTACAGCATTATCTTTGCCCTCTCTCTACGTGGTACTGCTCGACACACCAAGACCGCCTCCGCAATCCTCGCTATGGGTACCTCCGGTGGTGTCTTCTTCCCATTTGCAGAATACGCAGCGTACAATGCGCGCGGAGTGTCGTATTCATTCTGCGTCCTTGTCGCTGTCTTTGCTGCTGGCGCAATTTTCCCGTTATATCTCAACCTGGTACCCGCAGTGAAGAAACAAGTCGACCCAGTACCAAATGAGTATCTACGTCGTCATCGTCGTCGCAGCCGCGCCCCAGTAAGCGCAATACGCCGCGAGAAAGAAAATCAGTCCAGAGGCGGCGTTCTTTCTCGCCGACGAAGCTTGGTCTCCAATCCAGACGATCTACCCGACCTCCCCTTCCCAGACGACACACACCAAATCCCTTCCTCTCGACGCCTTCACTCCAAATTCAGCTCTACCTCTACCTCCCAGGATAACTCCCACTCTTCTAATAACTCTTCGAGACATCGCAACTCCCCCATCCCTGAGTAATGAGCTAAGCTTTACTGTTATGATACTGATACCCGAAACGATTCACGAATTACTTTTTCTCGTCTCCGCATAATACCATCACAACTCTTTTTGCTTTTGTGTCTTGAAAAAGTCTAGATACCCTTTCGCTATCTTTTACTATGGAACTGGAAAAGCGTGGCGCCTTTGACTTTGGTTGACGTCTATATGTACCAGTGCATTTACGCTGTGGTATGGGCTACTTTCAAGCCTACATTTAGCGATGGCGTTTGGGATAACAAAAGGACTCGTCGAAATTTCCTAGTTGTTTGGTCTTCCGAATATATCCCCTCAATCGAACTTAATGTTTAAAATTGCTTGCTTAGAATTCTTGTAGAAACCGTGATTTATGCGTAGTCTGCTGGCTTCTGAAATATCAGATGTATTCTAATCTATCTAAGGGGCAGGTAATTTAACTCTCGCACTTATGGTGATATATCAATAGCCGCCACGAGCTCGGACATCCGGTGCAGGGCATCAAATTCACTACCGGCAGACTCGACAGTAACCCCACATAGCAACTATAATGATATTTTACTTCACTTCTTTAAGTCTAAAGGTCTCTTGATCCTAACTCAAGCAAGTTCCATGAATCTCAGTAATTCCCCAGAAATATCACGTTCACTCTGTTGATTTCGATACGCTGTTTGTGAAGAAAGGCGAAGTCCCGCGTGAAACGAAGATTGCAATGGCGATTGGAGATCCCAGACGGGGGGACATGAAGTCTTGTCTCCTAGACTTAGGCAGATTACTTCTTCTGTCCTTGCCCGCCATACTGCCCATGTTCACTTTGCTTCTTGACATCTCGGTCGTTTGATTGTTCTTGTTTTAAATGTACTTGAGGGCTTGGGATCTATGAAATTCTTTCGGTCCAGAATTATACCTAGGTGCGGATTGAGTCGCTGGAATGGCAGTAATTTACAGCCCTGCTCTTCCTCTTGTCTTTGTGATGTATGCAATACAGGGCTGACTATTCAATTCTGCACACTACAAGTGGCACTTACGAGCTAAATACACCGAGCGGTCAGCTGTGATATTCCTGGGCAGGTACAATTGTTTATACGATCAAAATAAGGTAACAGTTGTCATTCAAGAAATAACGAATTTGTAGACTGCACGATCTTAAGAGCCGGCCGTCACCTGACCTGATATGCAGTATATAAGGTTTGTTATAAGTCTCATGGTCATTTGTTCATTACGTTTACGTATGGCGAAAGATCATGCAGAAGTCTTGCGAAGAGACTTGCACTAGTTGGACTACTAAAGAAGAGTTTACAATGGGATAAAGTATTGGAATAATTCATTCAATTTCATAATCGTCATGACGATCCCAAAGCAGACAAAAGCCAAATGCTCAAATGGGAATATCATCAAATGCAAAAACCAGCGCCTCTATCCAAAACCCGCTCGACAAAATTCGGAACAAAATAAATGCGTCAAAACTATACTCAGAGCACAGTTATGAAAAATATCATCACTTTTTTAACTTTTGTGATGATGACTGATTTACCACCAGTCACCGTGGTCCTTCATGGCCTCAGCGACCTTGGTGAAACCAGCAATGTTGGATCCGGCAACGAGGGAAGGCAGGGAGCCCTCGGCAGGGGTAACGTACTCCTGAGCGGTAGCGAGACCGTTCTTGAAGCAGTCCTCCATGATGTTCTTCAGGCGGTTGTCAACCTCCTCGCGGGTCCAGTTGATGCGAGCGGAGTTCTGGGCCATCTCGAGACCGGAGACGGCGACACCACCGGCGTTGGCGGCCTTACCGGGGGCGTACCAGATGGCAGCACCACCCTGGTTAGCCTCACGGTGAGCCTCGAAGACATCGATAGCCTCCTGGGTGGAACCCATGTTGGAGCCCTCGGCGATGAACTTGCAGCCAGCGGCGATCAGGGCCTTGGCCTCGTCACCGGAAACCTCGTTCTGGGTGGCGGAGGGAAGGGCAACGTCGATGCGACCGACGATGTTGGTCCAGGGGCGGGCACCGGGGATGTATTTGAACTTGGAGCTGAAGGCAGCGGTGGAAGCGAGCTCGGAGATCTGCTTACGCTCAACCTTGATGGCGGCGATCTGGTTGATCTCCTCCTCGGTGAAAGAGCCCTCCTCGCCAATGAGGACGAGAGCACCCTGGGAGTCGGACAGGGAGACGACGGAACCGCCGAGCTCGATGACCTTCAGGGCGGCGTACTGGGCAACGTTACCGGAGCCAGAGATGGCGACGCGCTTGCCAGCGAAGGACTCCTTGCCGCCGGAGGCGTGCTTGATCATGTGGTCGACATAGTAGACGACACCGTAACCGGTGGCCTCGGGACGGATCAGAGAACCACCCCAGCTGCCGCCCTTACCGGTGAGGACACCCTCCCACTGGTTGCGGATCTTCTTGTACTGGCCGAACATGAAACCGACCTCGCGACCGGTGACACCGATGTCACCAGCGGGAACGTCAGTGTCCTGACCGATGTGCTTGCAGAGCTCGGTCATGAAGGAGACACAGAAGCGACGGATCTCGTTGTCAGACTTGCCCTTGGGGTCGAAGTCGGAACCACCCTTACCACCACCCATGTTGAGGCCGGTCAGGGCATTCTTGAAGATCTGCTCGAAGCCGAGGAACTTCAGAATGGACAGGTTGACGGAGGGGTGGAAACGGAGACCACCCTTGTAAGGACCAAGAGCGGAGTTGAACTGAACACGGAAACCGCGGTTGATTTGGACCTAGAAAGAAAAAGTTGTCAGCCGGAATGGACTTCTAAGGTTGTAGAGGTGGTGTTTTTTCTTATTGACATACATTGCCGGCATCATCCTCCCAGACAACACGGAACTGAACAACGCGCTCAGGGACGGAGACAACCTGGAGGGCCTTGCGGTACTCGGGCTTCTTCTGGAAGAGGGTGGAGTTCTCGAGGGTGGAAGCGAGCTCTGTTCGGGGAGCGATATGATTAGCTGAGCACTTGCCGAAGGACCACTTGCCGAGGATGCCGAATGGGTAAAGGATTAAATCGGGGGCAGAACCCGATAATGGAGGGGCATTGGAGGGGTATTCCAAAGTTCGGAGGGGCAGAGAGAAAATTGCAGTACGGGAGATAGAATCACATACCCTTGTAGGCCTGCTCGAACTCGGGCTCGGAGGGGAGGTTCTGGGCAGTCATTATGGCTGATTTTTAATAATTGGATCCTTCCGGGTATATAGAATGATCAAGGTGATCCAGATATGTTATTATGGGAAGGGTAGTAGATGAGGAAGAAAGAAAGAGAAGAATCCGGGAGGAAAGCTAGAATTATATATACAAGAGGTGGGGGGGTTAGAAGGACAAGCCGGAGTCGGACGAGAGAATCCGGACAACGTGTGGACGGGGAAGAGAGGGCGGGAGTTGATGGAGTCGACCAAAGTCCCTTGGTTGCACAACAGTGAATACCCGGACAGTTAGTGAACTGTATGGACGATGGGTTTCCGTGGGAAGAACGTCCGAACTTCGGGGCCCACTTAAGTCCCTAGGCAGATTTTATCTTATGGTTTAAGGTCACAGAATTTGGGCTTATCTTGCTGGTGGCGGCACAATTTATTAGTGCCCGCTAATCACAGTCACCGAATGGTCACTCCCGCCTTCGGGTCCACGATCTTCCACTCGACTGTTCCGTGTCTAATTCGTGAAATATCGGATCGGTCCCCTCCGCCTACGATAATTAATTACTGGGCACCAAATTTGCTGGGCACGTAGAACCATTTTTGCCTATGTCGTATAGACCATGGTGGCAGTAGAAGTTTCCTAATGTAACCTAGGGAGGGAAAGGGCCCTAAAATGCGGAGAACGGAACACTATGCATGACGCAGTGAAATTCCCTGCAACAAGGATCTTCGCATACTGTACACTCGACTACAGTCAACACCGCCACCGGCTTCCTACTTCGGAGCCAAGACTCAGGGAAGGTCACGTGACTCTGCTCTGCAAGCGGCGAATCACACATTCTACCGTGGACCCACCGACCTTATCTGATACTTTGTCAATTCTTTTTCATAACTGTTTGACTCACAGGAATCTTGCTCATTGAAACCACTGGTCAATTCTCTTTATCGCTTCCCCGAACCTCCCCCAAATTTCCGAGCGATTATCCCCCATCTCGGCATTCTTCCCCCAGCCTTCCGTAGGATGGAGGGGTAAATGGAGGGGCGGAGGGGTCAATGTCCCCTTGAAATGTTGCTAAGAACCGTGAAGCTACTATAGATATTAACGTTCTATGTTCGCGGAGTTGACTTCGCAACCTCTTTTAGTAGACGAGCCTTAATATCTAATTGATCAATTCTTTGCTATTACTCCCGTAGTATTCGACCCCGTCTGTGCATGCGAGCTCATGCGCTAGCGTTCGCATTCTTATCCGGGGCTGACTTGTCAGGCACAGCTATTGGGTGGTGCCAAGAATCAGAATTAACCCTATTTGCTGAATCCCGAGCGTCGGTACCTACCCCGGTGAGTGGGTTAGTCCTGGGGACACGCCAGCTCAATATCGGCGGCAGCGGCGTCCATTTTGCCACATATTGTTCTCAAGTTGCCCGTCGCTTTCTCCAACCACCAATGCGAAAGCATCTAAGTTTTCTCTTCCCTGTTACTTTTCAATTTTCTTTTCTTTTTCTTCCCCTCACTTGTCGATCAAAGACCAAAAATGAGGCTGATTTGCCTTCTATGTACATACGTCTTCCCACCGCAACAATCACCCCTGCTGGTTGCCTCGTAACTGTTCACCGAATCACCGATTCAATTCAATTGGCGTTTTATTCAACAAACTTCACATGCCACGAAGGTGGTGGCAAAGACTCATCCATAATTTGATCGGTAGATGCGGAACTCAAATTCTTATAGTATAGCACATGCCAATCTCACCACCTACTAACCACAACAACAAAAGGACCAGCCGAGTACGGAGACCCTTTACGCAAACTACCTTCGTCTCCAGGTTTCCCCGATAAAAAGGCGGGACCAAACCCTCTT